ATATATATATATATATATATATATATATATATATATATATATATATATATATATATATATATACCTTAAACCTATCCTGGTAATATTGACTTATTATCCAGAGTGATTAGGATTCGAATTGTGTTCACATTATTATTACTCTTATCATTATCCTCCACAACCCCTTAAGTGATAATTACCATGTGCTCACTAGTGACTAGCTTCATGAGAAAAATTCTTGGAGTTCTGGTGAGAAGCTGTGACCAGTGGAGCTAGTCCGTGTTGGGTGGAAACAGGTGTCTACCTCAGTACAATGGAAGATGGTCGCGCAATTTCGTGAGCTGGTTGAGGTTAGACATTAACACCATTGGATGCCAACTCAGTGGTCCAGTATGTTAAGCGTTCATGCGCGAGACTGCAGGCCCTGGGTTCGAATCCCGCGAGCGGGGTCGTGGATGCGCACTGCTGAGGAGTCCCATGGTAGGACGAATTAGTCGTCCAGTGATTCCAGGTTTTCAGTGGTGGTCTAACATCAATCGGTTCATGATCTCAATCAAAAACTTAACAATCTCCACAACCCCTAAACAGATAATTGACCTTTTATTTTTATATATAAATGCTCTTAACAAGTATATGTGTGATCAGATTGTTCGAAATGTATTGCGCTAATATATCACATAATTCTGATAATCTTCGTCTTCTTATTACATTATCGAAATGTTTACTTTGTTGTGATCAACATGTATCTATAGGTTATGTGGAATATGTTCTACAAAACGTGTAGATGACCAACTTTCTGTCCTTTCAACCTGTCTCCGTTAGCATGTACAGGTAAATTGACATATGTAATGTACCATAAGCAAGAATAAATCAATTCTTCACATTGTTTGTTAGTACATGAAGGCCTGCTCAGACGTCTAGTCTACTGCTTTTAAAAAAAATAAATGAAAATTTATCGCCACAAAGTTACCTATTTTAGATTTTTTCAATTAATTAATTATATGTCAACCTTGAGTGCTCATAATCCTTCACAAAATATTTACAACCTATCGAGAATCTCATAATTGAGAAATCCAGAAAGTGCTAGGAAGTAACATTACGAGAGTAAAACTGATCATAAACATTAACCGATAAATATGAATGGTAATTAATCACTGTTTAAAAACTTTTGTACAAATTTTCTTGAATCTTCACGAGTACAGTGGTCATAAAACGGGAACTTATTGCAATATTATTTTAATCAAATATATGGTATTGAATAAAACGAGTATTATCATTATTGTTACTATTAATGAAATAAATTCCGAAATCTACTTCATCAACCTTGGGAATTTCACAGATAACATGATAATTATAATTACAATAGATAAAAAATAAATGAGAATTAATTCAATTCATTTTTATTGGTTGTTTGAATTTTCCCATTGATGCTTAGGACTGTATATGCACATCCTGTGCAGATTGCCTTGATATTGCCATTAACTTACATGCATCATAAGCAAAGGTAGAAGGTGGCTAGTAGAGAGATCCAGGATGCAGGTTTCATCAACGGGATGTACCTGCTAGTTTAATTTATCAGATTAGTGATTATACTAAACTGTAAATATTCAGTGGTAAATTATTCTTTGTCTCGGCTTCGTTTTGAAAAACTGTTGAGCATAATCCAAAAGATTCAATTTGAAATTATTAAAATCATTTCATTAATTTAGCAGAAGACTGCTTATTATGTGAATTGTTTTATATAAATGTAACTTTATAACCTACGACAATGAAATTACTGAAAAGTTCACTACTGATATATTTATTTTATTTCTTAACGAGGATTGTAAAGTCGATTAAAAAACTCGAAAGATAGCCAAAGAAGTGAATAGATTTCTACATTACGACTTGAAAGAGATTCTGTTTTTAGGGAAATCTATTGTCCTTTAAGAGTATTGCGAAACATATTTGAAAGCTCTTTAGTACCATCTTGTAAATCTAAAATCTGTAACTTTTGCATGTTTTACTCATTAACATAAAAAATATTTAGGCTTTTAAGATCAACTAAGAAATAAATATTCCGTACTGATGAATTACCAACTGATTTAAAAGTATGATTTGAGAACTATACTGCTACGGTGATCAGTAATAGATCCGAAAGCACGAGTTTAAAACTGTCATAAATCTATAGATTGCATCACAGAGTAACACTGAAGCAGGGCTGTTATGACCTTGGATGGCTTTTACCCCGTGATACTTGTTATGACTTGACCTTGACGCGCTAGGCTGAGTGGCTTAACCTTGAGTTTAATACGCGTGAGTTCGATTGGGGTAGAGGGAACTATTCTAAATCCTGATTGGTTGGCAAGCACGCGAGTGAAAGAAGACAAGACAGTTGGAACACTAAACTCTGGATTCTCTGAATTCAGATTACTACAAAAATGTACATGAATAAATAAGTGAATATTTTGACCACGACGTACGATAATTTGGAAAAATACAGTTATGCCCGAAACAGGGAATTAGGGTAGAAAATATAGTGCAAAATATAATGTTTAAATTACAATATTTTTGGAACAAAAAAGGATATGCTAGTGAATGATACATAGAACGAAAGCTCGTGTTATGTAGAATAAGATAGGGACAAAAATAAATATAAGTGTTTTACAGGTTTTGAATGAAATGCAATAACGTCCCAAAAAAATAGCTTTCGTAATTGTCTGGGCTTCTTAATTCCCCGTTCATAACAAGGGCTTCCTGTATTTCGATGACTATTCAACTAAAATCTGTCTGTGATGCAAGATATGAAATTTGACAATCTTCATAAACATTATATACTAATAATTACCAAAAGTGTTTGAACCAGTGACAATTCAGGTGAGAAACTCATAAAAACTCTTTAAGGAAATCTCCAGGATTATTTATCAATAAATTTTAAAAGTAACCAACTATAGATATTAGTTTTTAGTGTTCACTCAGATGCAAACAGACTCTATATCCGAATCATACTTTATCTGGTAACCAATTTATATCAAAATCTTCATAATTTCTTTAAATCAGTTGTCTCATATAACTTATTATTCACAGCTATGCACATAACTAGCACAAGAGATCCAAGTTACAGTTTGACCACGCAATTTGAACGGATTTATTTAGATGAATGACATTTTAGGTTTATCAACTATGATTTTATACATTGATATATTATTATTTAGATTGAATTTGATTAAATCCGGTTTGATTCTGTAGTACAAAATATCTTGTTCATCGATTTTGGAAATTCTTCATAGTTTAGACACTTCAACAATTTGATAACGTATATAGAAACTTGAGGACTCTGTATGGGGGTGTGGAAATGGCTGAATTTCACTTAAATCATGAACCAATTAAATTTAGACCACAAATTGAAACCTAGAAGAACTGGAAGACCGCTTTGTCCTATTGTGGGACTACTCAGCAGTGTGTGTACATGACTCCGCACGCGAGACTAAGCGAAGAATTTAAGTCTTGTGTATAAACGGTAAACCTCTAGACCACTGATCCGGTATCCAACGATGTTAATGTCTAACATTAATCAGTTCGTGAAATTGCGGCAACCGACTTTCATTATCTTAGATAAGTAATTGCCTTACAGCCAACACAGATTGAACTTGACTCTTAATGGCTTCTCAATAAAACTCCGGAAGCTTCCTCTCAAAGCTAGCCACTAGTGACCATATAATAGTTATCAGAATGAGGTTTTGGAAAGTGTTTAATCTCATTAGTCTAGAGGTTAAGTGTTCACTCTCAAGGGGGAAGCTTTTGGCTTAGAGTGCCACGTGCAGACTCGTAGATGCGCACTGTTGAAGAGTCCCATACTAAGACGAGACAACCATTTAGTGCTTCTGGATTTCAATAGTGGTCTAACTTAGGTCAGTTAATGATTCCAATGAGATTTATGAATTCATTATATAGTAAAAACCATGAAATGCATTAATGAATTATGAACATGCAAACTGAAACCTGTTAGGCTACAAAACAATCCTTTAGTGAAATTGATTTCATAACTATGCTTAGTGAAAAAGTTGAGTAAATTTTATTCGTATAATACAGAGGGATATATATATATAACCTAGATATAACCCCTATTCTCTCTTTTAAATGTTAAAATATCATGGTCATAAATCTAATGAAACCTTGTAATTTCAATCCTGTTGGTATTGAACAAACTTTGTCTGATGCAATCAAAAGAGTTTGAGTATATTTATATTTGATCTGAACAGTAAGTGATTTGGTTAGGCAACATATTACAAGTTATTTTAATCACATACAGACTTATCATAGTTTGCTATCTGGAAAAAATTCTAATAAATCATTCAGATACATCAGAGGTAAACCGTAGTAGATAAAAAGTTCAAAGTGATAATACATTGTTCTGTATTATGCAAAAAGGGTGAAATTACTTTAGTTCATAAGGCTTGGATAAATCTATGAACGTTACCTTGATAGTTTCTGTATTAAAGTTTTAAAGTCGGTGATATTTTAATTCTACGACCTATTTTCTAAACTTATTTAAGACTATAGAGGTGACTGCTCCTAGACTTTCTGCATTTATCTGAGACTAAGATTATAAATGAATAATTTGATCTCGTTTCATTTCTACAAGCAAATATGTGGTCAAATGTTTCGAAATGTGTGATACAAGTAAGTTCCATTTTTTTCAGACTTTATCTTCACATCACACTGATTAAATTCATAGAGAGATTTAATTGTTGTATATCCTAATTCTGTATTATTAGTTTAACCAATAATGGGTTTCATGTTTTTAGTTTTCATGTTTACCAAAAGACTAATTTACTCCCATGGTAGAATCTTATATGTTGACATGAACAAATGTAACTCTTACCCATCATATAAGCAATAATTGAGAAAAACTTCCGTTTTGAACGTATTCAGGAGAGCGCATCAAAATTTATGAGTTATCGAGGTTTACTAGAGAAATATTCAGAAAATTAATTCAGTGTATCTTAAATCGATTAAAAAATGAGAACATTTTAACTTACCCGACGATGGACGATCGGAATATCTGGTACAAAATACCCAAGCTGGTAGATGTAATTTACTTGGATCATTGGTATTAAGCTTATTCGATGATGTTAGTTCATGTATTCTACTACGTGAACCCAATTTTTTATTATGATTACGATTGGATTTCAATTTAATTCCATCATCACTTAATGTCTTTCGTAAATGGTTTTTATTGTTATTATTAACAGTGTTGTTAATGTCGTTTTCTTCTTCTTCTTCTTCCTCTTCTTCTGATCCAACAGCAAATTTATTGATCAATTTATTCTTTTGTAAAATTCCGACCTCAGGCTCTTTACTATTATCACAAGTATAATTCATATTATTATGACTGATATCTGTACAATTGGTAATTTTATATTCATTTATATTGCCTTTATTATGTATTCCTTGAACTTCCTCTTCTTTCTCTTCACCTCTTCCTCTTACTAAAACTTCTTTTCCCAAACTGTCATCAGTCTTCTGTCGTCGAATAACTTTATGTTTATCAAAGCTTAATATATCTTTAACAAAAAATCCATTGACTTTCTTTCCACTCATATACAGTGATGACGATGAATTCGTTGAACATGATGATGATGATGATGATGACGATGAAGAGGATAAACTTGACTGCTCTATTTCATTAGAATATAAGTTTTCATTTTGTATTAAAGTGCATTTAAGTAATTTACTAAAAAAGTCCTCTTCATAATTAATCTTACTAATGTCATTCTGTAAACCATCAATTGTCATCATTGATAAGGATGATAATGATTTAACTGGTGATATAATTGTTGATGGCATTACTGTGGCAGATAATGGTATTATTCCTGATGTAGTTGTTGTCGTTCCAGCTGCAGTTGCTGCTGATATTAACATAGATGACCAAAATGGATAATCTGTATATGAATTGATTGACATGAAAGGATTCAAATGTTCAATAGTTAACTTTTCATGAATATTATTAATATCAAAATCCTTATTATAATTATTATTGTGATAACAATTCCATGTATAATGAATATTCATAAGGTTTAAAAAATTTGATATCATCTCTTTATCATATTGTAAGAAACAATGCTGTTGTTTCATTTGTTCAATCATCATAGATCTAGACTTTTCATTGAAATTATCGGATAATTCAAACATCTTAATGAATCAAACGAATAATTAATTCATATAAAATGGTTGTATTAACATAAGTTTCATTTTAAAATGAACAGGGATTGTTTGTTAAAAAAATATGATTTTCAAATTTTTTCCATGAAAAATGTATACACGATCATAAGTAGTAGTTTACGATTATTGTTAATAATAACTAGTAATTAGTAAATTACAAACCAATCGGATTTATTGTTGACGCGCTAATTCAATTTTTCTATCTTTTGCATTTATTTAAATTATCATTCCATACAAGACATATATCGTTAAAAAAAATTAAAAAAAATATAAAATGATAGAAGAAATATGTTTATTCTATCTCAGAAAGAGAATGAGAGGAAATCATTCTAAGTAAAATAATTAACTGTCTGTTATTCTGCAATGTTGATTGGTTCATTAGCAAAATATGAAATAATCGTTAAAGGTTAGAAGAGAATAAGAGTGTATTAGGGCAGAAAAATAAAATAATCTACTATCTTATTTCATACATTGAGGTACCAATAAATCATAATTATATCACAGAATAGGGGGATGTGAAGATTGGAGTAATTTAATAATTGAATTCTTGAGTCGATTATAGCTAGACCATCATGGAAAACATGAAGGTACTGGATAACTGTTTCGTCCTGGTTGACATTAGATATTAACACCGTTGGATGCCGGTTCAGTGATCTAGGGGTTAAGCGTTTGTGCGCGAGACCGAAGGTCCTGGGTCCGAGTCCCGTGTGCTGGATCGTGAATGCACACTAATGAGAGGTCCCATACTAGAACGAAACCGCCATTTAATACTTTCAAGTTTTCTAGCTTTAATCGACACGTGAATTCAACTATTAAATCATAATTTGTATTTTAGTTCTGTGTAAAATGTTCCACAGGTAATTATAAGGTCAATGGTTATCTTATTTTCTTAAGTTCAGTATTATGTTATACATCATGTATTAGATCTTACTAATTTAAATTGTTAAAGGATTTTCATTATCGTTTCATTTTTCGATATAAAAAAATAGCCTATTCAGCTGAATTTTTCAGTTTCACTAAGATATGATCAATATGATATATAAAGATGGAATAGAGAAATTAGGTGATGTATAGTTACGGTTCTCTCTATGAAATTATGATTTAGTTTAATTAACCCTCCGTTTCTTGTTTACTCCAAAAATAATGAGATTTAATTATGGTGAATCAATAGGTAGGCTATTTGTTAAAACATTCGACTTTTAGTTATTACGTTGAACGTTAAAAAATGTCCCATTTACACTAGTTCGAATCACCATGTTATATTACTAATCATCGAATGAAATGTCACTGAAGAAAGGATGCTGAAGAATTAAATGTAAAACTTACCATCTTTCATTTCTTTTTGATACTTACTCATTTGACTAATTCGGTGTGACCCTTTGAGGATAAAACCAGTGAGATAGCAGCAGTTTGGTTAATACTTACTCCATTTTATCATAATCTGCTTAGTAGAATCTCATGAAACCTAGGTAGTTTCTGTTGGATGCTATGATTTGTAATTTTGTACTTGAAACTTATTCGATAAAAAGAAATGACTCAATCGGATCGACCGTTTTGGAGAAATAAACTTTCAAGTAACCAAACATTAATTACTAATTAACGTAGATGATAAGTTGTATTGAAACAATGACCAAAGGAAGATAAAGTATTAATGGACAATCTCTTTGATACACAATTTTCTATTAAGTTTACTGGAACGCTAAAACCTGAATTCATGATATACATATATTGTATGAAGTAACAAGAAATTAAATCACTTCGTGTTGACAGTGGAATATCGTCTCAGTTAATAGAGCACATTCAAAGATAAGACTCTGGGTAACAAATAGTTAAATATAAAAGTTTATTCATTATTTTTCATGTTAATATTCTGCATTATTAAAACATAAGTTCTATAGCCGATATCGATCGAATTTGACACTCAACATATACAACTTCCCGAAATCGATGGACTACAGTTTTTTTTATATACTATCGAAAGAAAGAATCCTGGATCACCGTAAACATCAAGATAGGTCTTAGCCACACTTCTTACACCGATGGTACGTTCGGTTAACCTTTCAAAATCACCGACTAAATAAAGTTCACCACATAAGTTGATGTGACCAGAAAGTTGTCATTATTTAAACATGCGTCGGCAAATATCAAAAACATCTTGTGCAATTGTATTCTTCCTGAACGTCGGTAAATAAAAAAACCATAGCTCTAGAAATCAATGAAGGGTGGATAACATCCTTCTGATCGATGTCAAATGACTAAACCAAAGGCCTATCTCCTAAGTAAGATGTGGAAACTCGTGTATATGACCTACTGACCATACAGTTACTGTGTAAAAACCTTTTATCAAATATACAAGGTTTGTGTCCACGACTGACAGGTTGCCCATAACGCTAGATACTAAATTTATTATGAAACCAACCTTCATGTAATTTGAGAAGCTATCAGTCAATTAGGATGACACTTCATTGTTCATAAATATTTTAAATAAAAACTACTGGGATCTCTCTTATTATAACATGGTAGAAAACCTCTTTCCCATAAGATTTTAATTCATTTAGAAGTTCCGCTTCCACAGAAATTCCTACACCCACAAACATCACAAATTATAGCTTCAGGATTTAAAATAGACACAGGAGACATCAGTGATTGTTAATACAATGGAATACCGATAATTCAATATCATTACTACTTACACCATTAAAAAACTATTCTTACAAGATCAATGCTACTCTCATCCCTTAGAACAAAAGCGTGACGCACGATAGAGTAAATGAATCCGCGTTTTGTTAAGAAATTTCGATGACTGAACAAATAACTATAGCTACAAAGATAGTAATCCAGGTTTGAGTTATATGGGTTCCATACTTATTTGAAGTAGCTGAGTTTTTATACAACACATTCTTGTTGAGACTTTCAATTGGATATTATAGGTATTTTATCAGAAGAATAAATAGAAGTTGTAGTTTGGACAATTTATATTTATGCGTATACGATACCTAAGCTTGTCTATAGCCGATTTTATATTAGGGTATAATTAGTTATTGGTCCATGATACCGCGAATAGAGTTAGAGGATTTGTTTGATAAATAGATTTCAGCCATACTTTGATTATCATCTACTGACTACAACTACTTTATAAAACATAACTGAATAATGCTTCTACATTAGCGGTTTTTTATTCAACCTTAAATACATTGGTCGTTGGTAGGGAAAAACAACTATTTGCTAAATATTTGTTAGTAAACTCTAAACACTGACTTGATTCATTAATCCATAACTCGAAAATATTATTTTTACTACCAAGATTATCTCGATGTATTGAACAATTTATTGACAGTTTGATTAGCTACTTTGTACTCCTTATTAAACTATATAAAATAATTTGACACAGTAGACGTTCACTATGTGATTGAGACCCGTATCACTCAGGAAATATCCAACTCAGTTATTTAAAATGTGGCACTTACATTACTCAAATATTTACAAAAAATCACTATTAATTAGTAGTGCCTAATACAGACACATGTTCAATCTTTTATTGTTGATCGAATTCTACTGATCAAGTAACAAAACTATTATTTTATATGACTCGATACTACGCAATAGACAGGCCTTGAACTGCAGTTTTGTACTTATTAGAAGAAAAAAAAGAAATCAACTACAAAACAATTTGTTTATATTTACCGTTAAAGTATATTAAAAGAAAAAATTCGTATGAAAGACATTTTTCGATAAAAGATAATATGATCTATATATGAGGTGCACAAGCACCACAAGTGTTTATACGATAGAAATTAACAGTTACATATAACATTACCAGTTACACATAAGAAAAAGAAATAAGAAAAATATGCAAATAATAAATATACACAATATCACGATTAATTGAAAGATATCAAGCTTTCAACAAACAACATAAAATAGGTCAGATAGACCTCGCTCTCTCCATATATATCACATTAATAAGCACTGATCTGAAATAAGAAACGAACAAAGAATATTATACTAAATTATTCAATTGCTTACTCGTTTAATAAATGATATTCTATTAATCAAAAGGATGGTGATATACAATTTAAATGATTCACGTGGAAGTAATAAGCTAACTATTAATGAAAATTTTCTACAATGAATTGTTAAGAAACGCTAACATTAAACTGAATAAAATAGTCTATAACTATTAACTTTAGATGTAGATAAACTAAATAACTAATTTAGGAATATATCTTTGAAAAATTTATATTCTCAACAAACATATAATATCAAATGGGTTTTGTGGATATTACAGTAATTCCAATGGTTAAGATCATGAGTCAGTTGAAGCTAGACCACAATGGAAAATCTAGAAGCACTGGACGGCCGTTTCGTCCTATCGTGGGACTCCTCAGCAGTGCGCTTCCACGACCTCTCCCCCTGCGAGATTCGAACCCAGAACCTACTGGTTTCGCGCGCGAGCACTTAACCACTAGACCACTGAGCCGGCCGGCATCCAACGGTGTTAATGTCTAACTTCAACTAATCCACGAAATTGAGCGACACATCCATGGTGGTCTGGCTTCAACTGACTTATGATCTCAACCATTGAAATACATAATACTTTGACTTAAAAAAAGTAATTTAAAATGTAAACTTATTGAAGAGCTACAAAAACTAACGATTAAGCAGTGTACACTGAAACGGTAGATCAGTGATTACGGTATTTGACCTTCAATTACTAAGCCACAGATGCAAGCCCAACTCCCCTTACTTCGGTTTGAGTAGTTGTTTAGTATGGATAGGCCTCACAGCTAAGGTGTGGCTCAAGGTTAAGCACACGAATTTTTATCGGGTATGGGAGTTAATAACTCAGATTAAAACATACTGAAGTTCCCCATAGAAACAAATGCCAATGAAGCACTTTAAAATGTTTCATAACGTTACAGAGGATGAAATGAGAAACGGCATAACTGAAACTCCTGAACTTTACAAATTAAACTGTACGATACACACTTATCCAAGGGTTTGGTTTTGATTCAAGCATTCACTAATAACCAAAACATGACCCCTATACTTTAAGACATAATTTTTACTTGCCCATAATGAAATGAATCACTCCGATTGTAGTACACCAAAGTTCTTGACTCGTAACACAATAACTAAGTTCGTTGGCATTCACAGTTTCTGCTCTCCTCTCACTCAACTCGTTTGCGTGCATTGCTTTATACTACTTGCTGATATTTAGTAACCAGTTGCATTTCTAATAATGTATGAACACATGGTTCAACGTCCATTTATTGTTGAGTAAAATTCTTAAGTATTTGCATAAACTAACTTGAAATAGTTATTTTTAGTTATTGTGCATTCCTCAGATATATTTTTAGACACAAGATTTTCTATGTCTTGATGCTATTAGTCTCCATCTAATAGTTAATAATTATTATCGACTTTAGACAGCTACTGACTGTGACTTACGCTATCGCACATTGCAATTAATTTTCACGTAATTACTACAGGGAATCTTTTTATCTCAACATATCAAGAGGCGTTAATTTCCAAAGATATCTCAAGATTTGAGATTTCTAAATAACTTGCATTGAACATTTCTTTAGATAAATCGTTGTTTTGAGTTTCAATTGTTCATGTGTATCTCTAATTTGTGCAATTAAACGCTTGGATAGATCTTAAAAGTGATGTTTCCTTTAACATTGAGTGATTAATCATCCTCGCACGAGATTAATCTATTCATTAAAACTTTCGCAATAATTATGAAAGTATAAGATTATTTATGAGCATATTGAATGCTCGTCTAAATAACATACGATGAAGATAGAAATGAATAGAAGTTAAATAAATAAAATAGAAGTAACCTCAGTGATAACAGAATGTAAAAAAAAATCTCATCAATAAACTAAATTAAATCTGCATAACAAAGTGAAAACGCCTACCTTCTTCTTGTGGATTTTCGTCGAGTACGTCTTCACCAATTTGAAAACTAGAAGATTCATTTTCACCAATCATCATTGTACTGTTATAATTTAACTCGGCTTTGATTTGTTCGGCTTTATCCATGGCAAGATTTAACTAAAAATTATGTGAAAAAAACAAACCATGAGAAGAAATCAATTAATCTGAGTTGTGGCTACTATTTTCAGTCTTTTAGAAATGAAAAAAGACGACAAATTATTTAACCATTATAAACTTATGATAAATCAAAGCTCGCCTGTATAAATAACAAAAAAACTTTATATTCCTATAAACATACTGATGATATAGCATGAGATAGTTCTGTAAAAAGTAAGCTGATGTTAACTGAAGAACTACCTAAAACCAAGAAAGACTAAACAGATGTCTTATTCCTATTTGAAACTCTAACAGTCCATATATACCATATAACAGTATGTTAAACTCTGCATCTTCAGAATTCATGGCCAGCAGAAAAAAGAAATTGAAGCGAGTTCACGAACAATGCATGCACTTATTAACTGGTTCAAAGAAACGTTAAAACAACTGGTGGCAATCATACAATGAAATAATTATAAAAAAATCTTTGTTCTTAATTTGTATAAAAACGACATAAAAACAATCTATATCTTACCTCTTTAAACAAAATACTCCGGTTCTTGGAATTAGAATCATCTGGAGAGAAAGAAAAGAAAGGAAATATCAAATAACGTGTGGTCATTTATATTAAAATAGTGGTAATAATAATAATACTTATGAAAAGGTACTTATGGACATTACTGCATGACAGCACAATCTGACTAATCGTCCCAATTGATCAACTAACGGTTGATGCTTAAAAATCCTAGCAAGTATTCTGTACCATCCAAATACAAAGTAGCTTTAAAAGTTTGTCAAGTCTACACAAAGAAGTTTCAATACATAAGAACTGTATATAAGAATTTATGGTAGATCAAGTATGATGAAATGAAGGACAGTGTTGTCCAGCTGATTTTAATTAGCGCGTTTTTGAGAGCATGGTTGAGGTAACGTAGCAATATTTGAGAAGCCATAAGACAGAGATACAAGTCAATATAGGGAATTTTTTATTGCTCTTCCTACCTGAAACTTTCCCATTATTATTTTAAGTAAAATTAGTGTACACTAATATTGTTGCACAGTAGAAAAATATAGCTCAAAGATCTTTTCCAGGATACGAAGATCCTCAAGAAAACATCATGAACTTCAGAATTATTTCAAGAATATAATCAGTGATAGAGTTCAGGGATGAGTTATCGGAAGGTTTTGATTTCGAATAATGGGAATTATTGTTTAGAAACACTTACTTCGTCAGTTTTTTTTTACGGAGCGTATTAAAGACAATGATTATGAACTTTATAACAAAACATTTCGTTTTACAAATAACTACGAAATACAATTTAAATGAAGGAATTAGAAAAAATAATTGAATCATGTGATGCTAAAGAATAGTTATGAAGAAATAAATAAACATCAACTAAATCGATTTAAGTAGAATCAATGTTGTAATAATGAAGAGTATAATGTATGATATAGATTTCTACTTGAAAAAGTGAGGTCCTAGATAAAAACATCATGATCTGTAAATTTAGACAAGTTGAGAACGAAATAAGAACTGATAGATGATATTATGTGAGGATTACACAACATCATAAATTGAATCGTGTTAAGAATTAGCGATTGAATGGTATCGTGTTCGCTACGAGATCACACGAACTAAAATGCGATCATGTGTAGAATTGTAGGTGTATACATTACTTGCAATTCTCGAACAAGAAAGAAATATCTATTTAATGCTCTCTGGTTTTCCGTAAATATCTAATTGATATCAGTTCATAATGTAAAGTGACTATGAGCGTTTTACTACTTAATTTACAAATAGCTATTCTATCACACTTATAATTAATTTAAACAATAAACACTAACTGATGTCATTAATAAAACATAGAAAAGCTTATTTCTCATAAAAGAATGAATCATTTGAAATGTTACCCACTGACATAATACAAATCTTGATTGACAGTTACCACTACTACAACACTGTTTAAAGATGGCGCCAGATAAACTTATTGATAATAACAAATATAATAATAATAATAATGGTAAGTCAATATTCAAATATGCAAAGAATATTAAATTATTTTATAAGTTTATTGTTACAAAATAAAGTTGTTAATAAAAACTCTTAACTAGGAAACTTTCTTACTTTGAGCTTCTTTTAAACAATTTGAAAATTCATTTTGAAAGTAAATCAGTGCTTCTTGTAAATGATGTTTAGAAATCTAGAAAAAAAAAATATATATATATATATATACATTGTATTTGCTAACAATTTTATGTAAACAACTTTTTATATTGATGTAAAGAAACAAATCATTAAACGATTTGTTGATATATGTTAATTCTTAAAGATTTGTAGTTTAGTCTTAAGATTTGTCAGATGAATAAGAGTACATAAATATATCAACTGAGAATTCTGGTTTTTAACTTAATTTCTTTTTCCATGTTATACTACTAAGTTACTTACTAATATTCATTAGGAGAGATGGATGATAGTATCTAACAGTGGAATCCAGGACGCATGTTTCATCCTATATGAGACTGATTGGTTGCAGTCCTAAACATTAATGAGAAGATTCAAACAATCAATACAAATGAATTACTAATATACACTGGTTTATGTTGTTGTCAATCATTTTTTGATATATAAAACCTATAATCCGTTTGTTATGTGTGCTATTTTCAAATATTCACATGCATTCCTTACACTTATTCCATTTTATTACCGTGATTGTGTTTCCTTACCATTGTTAGCAGTTCGCCTTTGTTTCGAGCGTGTGCTCCCCAAATGTTCTCACATAGCCATGCGTATGCAGCCAATGAAAAGAAAGTTCCACTCACTGCCTTCTCGCAGCGGGGATGATGCTTAAGAACTTGAGAGGACGGAAAGTGAATATCCGGTTGTTACTTACACTACAACGACTAAACTAGAACTAATTTTACTGTAAATTTCAATTAAGAATGAATGCATTTGAACTATTGTGCTCGGTTTTAGGCTTATGTGGACTAGGTTATCTATTGATTTATTTGAACACATACATATTGGTACAAGAGTGTGCCAAATATATATGCGCCACACAGGTTATCTAACCTCTAACTTTTATCGTTCTAAAGGAGTATACTTCCCGTAAACATAACCATGATTAACAGTTGGCATCAGATCATACTTTGTTTCTTTCAATTTTGATTTGATCACTACTGTACGATTTAATGGACAGTGATTAGGCGTTAATCCAGTCCATCTAACTGATACAGTGTCACTATTTTAATGCTTCCTGACTCCTATTACAGTTAAACTTACGATTGACATCAACACAGGTTACTCTCAGTGATTCTACAACGTCTGAGCAACATTTCAATGATACTAATGATGAAAAGCACAAATTTATACTATTTTTAAATTAAAAAGACATTTAAAGACCAATAATAAATATTCAATCATACATACAAGTTCATAAAACTTGTCCAAAAATTCAACCACAATATTGCTGGAGGTACCTGGTAAAATAAGAAACAATAATTAAAATCAAATATGACACTAAACAGCTAAAGAAATACCGTGATAAAATATAAGTTTATTAGAATATTTAAATAGCAAAATCTTGGAAATCTTTATAGTTTACAACAGAAGTGGATGATTTAAAGTGTATACATCAAGTTTTCGTTTTTGTCTAGATTTGGACTGACAGACCTGCTAACCTATAGTTTGGTACAGAAGTGAAATTTCAGGTTGTCACACTTTGTAATAGAACAGGAAGAGAAAATCAATAAAATTGGGTTGAAAAATGAATCCAGACATTGAATTTTTGTTAATCCGAAGACGTCAACTGAGAAATCTGATTATCTCTTCACACATTTAAAAACAGTAGTTTATGATTAATTGGACTGAATTAATGTCCCGATCTGATCACCTGGTCATTTTTATCGATCAAATTCTACCTCATTAGTGCACGTTGAGTTAGATTGTGACTTTATCTGCATAACATATGACTCAGTGAACTCTGTCAATGCAGGTTTATACACTTATCTACTTATTTACTCCCTTCGTCGATAAATCTAACTTTAACCATGAAATTTCTCACTTAGTTATCTACCTAAATATGGAAAACACTATGAAGAAACTTAGCGTTGAGCAGTTTTGCTTTACATACATATCCATAAACACTAATCAGAAGATTTTGATATCTTTTTAGCATCACGGATAATAATGTTATCTCAAAATATTGGAAATCTGGTGTAAAGAAAAGCGTTTAAAAAAATTGACAGATGATAGTGTTTAGGTAAGCATAGTAGTTAGGATGGAAGAAAACTAAAATTAAATAATCACCCAGTTCTAAAAGTCGACTACGATCAAATTTCTCAGTTAGACCGTCTACCATATCAGTTGAATCGACATTTGGTCCAGATTCTAAATAGGAATCCCTGAACTTTGAAGAATCCAAAGAAGGTGTCTTCACATTTGATTCAATGGCCGGTTCAATTGTAGAGGAATTAACAGACTGATTAAGAGCTAAAGATTCTTCTTGTTCAATTGTGTCCGTTGAATTTGGATAAGGACTAGGAGATGAAGGAAGGACAGAAGGAGAGTGAAGCGATCCCAATGGCAACTGTGTAGAATTCGAATGATCCACCTCAACCAATATAGCGGTAGGCACAGGTTCTGCTCATATCCATACAAATCAATGAAAGTAATGCAGTGTAAATGAAATTCATTATTATTTAAAATAATTGTATGGAAACAATCGTTTAAAATTAGAATAAATTAGAATGGAGATAATATTTGTTTGAACACATAAACACTGGTACAAGGAGGCACAGGTGGTTTTGTTAGGAGGCCATATCCCAAGCCTTTGATATAGAGGTCCAATCTACAAGCGGTGGATCAACGTTACAAGGTAGTCGATGACCAACAATAGGTTCATACGCTATTTGTTCCCTCAGGATCTTGTAGCCCATATGCACCATTAGTTTGGAATCAGGGTTTTCCAACTCCCCTAGGTGGATCCTCCATATCCATCAACCCAGTTAAAGCTCCGGATATTCAATTTTTGTCATCTCAAATTCGTAAACAGCATCCCCGCTGCAAGAAGGCAGTAAGTAGGACTTTCCTTTCATTGGCTGCATACGCATGACCATGTGAGAGCATTTCAAGAGGGAGAGCTAACTCTCCCCAACCTTGGCCATACCAGGGCATTGGGGGCAGAATGGAAATAAACAACAAAATGGTCGTGTTTTTTCCCATCCATACATAGCCAAACTTAACAAATTAAAATACTGATTAATACATTTTAGAGCTTAACAAAGAAAGCTTAAGTCATATGGTCTGACCATTATTAATAATACTACTTTAAACACTAGTAACAGAGAAAAAGTAAACACGGAAAAGAGAACTTTAGAATATAACTGAAGCGATTACGAGTTCACTTAGTCTGCGAACGGAACAAAGACTTGTGACCAAAGACCAATAAACTAGCTATTGTGTTGCGTCCCAGCCCGCTTACTAGAGAGAGAAGTCGAAGTCCGAACGGGGAAGTATATTCCGCAAAAAGCCAGAGGCACGAGTTATAACAACAGACACAAATCAAAACGTATCCATACAGCACAAAACCGTCCTTGGGAAGGATTACAAAACAGCCTACCAAAAGATACAGTGGACTAATAGCGTTTAAGATTCTCCCAACTGGGAAATACGACATGAAGGAGAAAAGAGCGATTGTGGCGCGAAAACAAAGAAATTCAAATTTTCAAGATAAAATTACGAAATTATGACCTTTTTCAAGTGAGTTCTGGGGATATAACGTCCCCAACAATAACTAATTACTACAAATTAATATTTAGCTCAATGTTCAACAAGTAAAACGTTTGATACATGTTAAAATATACTAATAAATGTAATATGTTAGTATCGTGTTACAATTTTTAAAATTGAATAAACTAGGAAACAAACAGAATAAAAGACAATATTATGACTTGATGTTTATGATAGCATTTTCATTACCATTGTATCACAATTATTTACTTGGACAAATTGAGTTGAGTATAACACACAGATTGAATACAAACGCATAAAATTCTGATTCATTTTTTTCGTATTCCTTTTTCTTCTTACGTAATTGACAATTAATAAAACTATAATAATAAAAGGCTGATTTGCTATCCCTTCACAATATAGTTTGTGTATCAAACACTAACATACTTAAAGATGGAATCACAATAATACTAACCAATGTGAATGAATTGTTTCCAAGTATTCCTTAAAACAATTTTCGAAAATAAATGGATAGTAAACTAGATAACAGTGAATTATACTTTCAAATGATTTCAAACAGGATGAAATAATTGTCGGCTGAAAACAATTAGGCAACTAATATTGATTCTGACCATTACCGTATTGGTAAACTTCAAGCCTTATGTCAAAGATGTTACAACCAAACTAATCAAGAATCAATGGTTAGGTTCCTCATAACTCCTAAAAAGTTATCTCACAATAAGTAATACCGAATAAATGACACGGCAAAAAGTTTAGAACAAATAATTAATTGTTCAAAATCTTGTAAGTTTAATCAGGACCATTGTCAACATATACAGACATGAATACAATTGAATGATTTCATTAAATATGAAACCAATGTGTAGGTGACTTACTAGCTTTTCCACCGTATTGATAAGGATTTTCAGTCTTATCATTCTGTCGCGAAAACCAATGCTTAATACGAGTAAGAACTCCAGCTTTATCTGAGGATAAACAAACATTAATTTGTTCGACTGAATCTGTCGACAAACAGTCTCCCCTAAAATATGTAAAATTATCACTTGTACCTGAATCTTGTGGTTGATTTGTTTCAGAAGTAGGTGATGAATTGCTTTTCAATGAAGACTGATGATCATCTTTTTCTTTTGATAGATAATGCAATAGGCCTTTCTTTGATGAATCGGCATTCTTTTTAGGCTGTCGTGATACATCATAACCTAAGATCAATATAGTGACGAAAAGTACATGCATGCACGAAAACGTGTGAAATGAACAAGTAAAAACGCTAAATTGAGTGAAACAGATTTGAAAAGTAGAAAACATGCATTTGTAGCTAGTATGTGCCTATAAATATTTTAGAACAACATAGTAGAACAACAACTTAGATAATGTTAAAATGATGAAGATTTGAAGCTTCATCGACTTAGATGGTAGAGAAAAGAGTTATCTATGTTCAGCTGTTTACTATTTAAACAAAGCTGACTATCACAGGAGTAGTTTCAAAAAAACCTGAGGGCGACTAGACAAAAGTATCCTATGAAGTTGTAGTGAAAGAACACTCAGGTGAGGACAATCAATTTATATTGTTTAATGCGAAATTACAGAGTTCTTTGGTAAAATGTGACAACCATACATTAAATACTTCATTTGCAAATCTTCCATCAAGTGTCTTTTATATCCTTCATGATTCTTCTAATTCTCAAATCCTTTCTGTTTCATCTCATGTTTTCTTCAGATCAATCTTCTCAACCCTCTTTGGAGATGCATTCCACCTCTGATCAATGTTACATACTACTTATGTCGACAAACACAGCAAAGTCATTAACTAAATTAGGGCGAGATTGCAAGCTTAATGATTGGAATAAGTGAGACAGACATAATCGACGATTCAAGACTATACATACCACGTCTGAAAATTGGTTCACAGAGCAGATGTATTTACTCGTTATCCTCTTTTAAAGCCCGAATTTTCATATTATCTTATACTTTTAATGTGTCGATTTTATTCGTGTTTTAATGTTTTCAACGTTTATTTTTCTGATGCCATAAACAATATTGAAACCTTATTCCTGTTAATTCTCATTTAACCAAAGTAAGATCGGTAAGACACTTACTGCTTATTAATTCAGCTTCCTTTTCAAGCTTCTCAAGAGGAAATGTATTTCCATACTATGGAAATGTATTTCAACCAAAAAGCACTCAATTCATTAGTTCATCGGTCTACATTCTTATTAGATATCTTTTATCCATGCAAACAAGTACAGTAATTAAATTTATCCAAATTTGAAATTTTACTCACATTTCACTGGAACAATAGGATCAGGTAAATTAACTGCTTGACTGTTAAGAGTTTTTGGCTCTAATTGAGGTGACGACGATGAAGTCACATCCGTGTGACTAAGTAGACATAATTCTAATTTCAGTGATTCCGTTTTTAGTAAATGATCTTTCATCTGAAATTATAGTTAGTAAATGACTGATGAAAAAATCAAGCTCCCAAAATCTCATTTTTGTAAACTAATTTTTAATATATAACCTACAGAATATGCAACAAAACACGACTCATCAACTGCCTAATTCACGAATTCGTTGACTTCTCCTACCAGAACTTTGAGAAATTTATCTTGGATGAATCTGATTATCAATTGAGTGAAAACAATTCTGTTGCAAAGTGATTAGGAGCTCAACAGTTTTCAATATAAAATAAATAACTTTGAAAGTATATACTACTGAATAAACAACACAACTCAACAGCCAGGAGTAAAAGTAAGTTAAAAGTTGTGAGCTATGCTGACTAAGGGTTAATCGGATAAAGTTTATCACTCACATGGTTGAAAGTCGTTCTTAAGCCATTAGATTACAACCTCACAAATACACGTACAACACCTCAAAAAAACACTATCGTCAGATATTTAAGTGACATAAACTCAATAAATGAGCATACATTGAGATTTGAATATCCCACGGAGTCGACTATTAGTAACAAAGTGCATTACAAAAAATTATATAAAAGACCCACTAAATAGACATAAAGTATCGTCATCAACGTAAAAATTTAGTCACAAATCTGTTACTAATATTAATGCTGTTGAAAAATACAATAAAATACTTTTCACCAAAAATGCACTAACCAGGTTTCGTATTTGCGATTTCTTGAAGCGCGATGGCTCATCTATGGTAAAACAAAGAGAACGTTACAGTAACGATCTGCCGAATACATTTTATTATACCAAACGGAAACTATGTTAAGTAATTAAATATTTTTTAATTCACGGGATTTTAACAAGTACATTTTATATTACCACCGAAAGATAAACTAGATCGATACGTAGACCCCTCTCTATCTTTCTCTAAGTCTCGAGTAGTTCCACACTTCGCATACCTAGATCTCGTTTTTTCCTTCCGATACACATTTGTCATATATTCATATTTTAGATGCTATAATTTCCAGTTCACTACCTCAGATTTGGCTGATTTCTCATCTCTCGCAATGTGCTGGTTTAATATATAGTAAATTGAACAGATCGTATGTTGTCTTTGACTGCGTAGAACTTGGTCAATACTCTTAAATGAAACAAACATTCATAAACTCCTCAATCCATCCAATCAAATCCATTAACTAAGCAAGTACAAATTTGATGAGATTTATGGATTGGACAAATAATTTTGTGGGAACTGGTCATTCTTCACATTCGTTAAGAAGAATATAAAACAAATGAGGATTTACACAAATGTCATCAAACTGACCAACAGCACAATACATGCTAATTTTAAGTTTAAGTTGCAGTGCGGATGGTGACTTTTAATAACCCTTTAGTAAATTCACTAGGATGAATAATCTACACTACCTCGTTGCGAGTATCCTAAAATAAGTGACCAATGATACACCTGTCTGTTATGTGGTTAAAGGTAGTCGACAGGAAACCCTGGATCTACGTTACGTACTAGTCGACACTCGTTAAAAAACCATAACTGTAGTCTTGACGGGGAGTGATGCTATCTGTGGGAGTGCAACTTGATCGACGAAATTCGATCAGAACTAAATGATTAGACAAACATCACGTTAGTCACTACTTAATAATTAATCTATTGTAAGCACCTCTGTGTGAGAGATAAACTACCTAGATTAACCTACTCCATATGCATATACCTGTCTGTCTGAACTTGTGAAACTAGATAGACTGATCAGTCGTTAACAAATATGTCGCCACGCGTTATATAGAATCTTTCAGTACCGCCCAGTGAAGGGAAAGGTAGAAGTTCAAAATCATCTATTTTGCAATATGAAGTTGGTTACTCTTTGACATTATTTATAGGACCTTATACAATCTATTTCTTTCACATTGCAGAATCGTTAGTTATGCTCCATATAAAATTGAATAATGATGTTAAAAAATAGATATTATAGTCGTTTTCATTGCCATAGCCTTAGTCTTACTACAAACTAGTGTATTTTTCTTTCGTGATTTTATCTCTTTTCATATTCAAACTATTCAAACCCTCATCTTTAATCGATCCCAGATTTTCAATCGAAATTCAAAATTACATTTATGCTTTGTTATTATCTTATTGTTTCTAATCTAATCCTATTATCATTTACAGTGACCTATAATTGTCTACTTTAAGAAGAAACATATCATAATCTTTCACTACTTAGTTGTATTATGTAGCTTTATTCCCTTGAATTCTCGATATTAATTTTCCCAGATAATTTGTCGATTGGATTCCTATGAAGAATTAATTCGATTAATACTAATCTGTTACTAAAATCATCTACATGTTAACTGATTCACATCCATTATTATGGGCCCATACTTCGTCAATTATACTTTATAGTATAAACATGCAAATGTAATATTTTCTTACAGTGTTTTGAAAAAAATGAATAAGGCGTTACGGTTAGGCGATTCAGAAAACATCAATTGACAAGTACCAAAAGTAAACGGAATGTTTAGTATTATGTTTGTGATTCATGTGTTTTTACCCATTCCAAATCAGTGATAAATATTTTGGTATAAAGGAAATTATTGTTAGTTTGTGTATGAGATTTAGTTAGGCAGTTATTGTAGCCATATGAGAAGTAAAGACTCATGTATGAGACTTGATTAATTAATCATCGTTAGATCCCTAAACTACTAATCTATAGGATGAGATGTCCTTATCCAAACATAATGACGATGGTAATTATAATAGTAATGATTGATACGTCTAGTACTCAAACTCCTAACAATAACCTGATAACTGCTCCCCAGTTCACCAGAAATTCTCCTAAATGTGAGCCTCGAACAGTAAGAAGATGGCGGGGATTATGTAAAATGAATTACTTTTAAGGTTAGTTTGAATACAGAAAACACGAGTATTTGTCTATGGATGGCCTTTATATTCTGAAAGCTTTTGGAAACATGTTAACCTTATTAACAACATAGGCAATCCAATCAGAATGTGACACGCAATTCGTCATTTTCCTAAAAATTTCAGAGACGTCTACAGTGAAAACTGATGGAACGAATCGCTTTCAACATGATCCCAGCTTCTGAAGACTCCTCAACGATAATAATAGCATATTTGCGAAAACATTGACAGTAAAATTGTAAAATATTGACTAAAATGAATTTCGTATTTGACTACCCTACTAGTAGAGTTCCATTAGTCTGGTACAGTAGCACAAGCGACTTACAAAGTATTTCAGAAACTCACTATGATAATCAAATTCAAAACATCTCATATATATATATATATATGATAGATTTCGAAACATTTTGTTTAAAGTCTTTCTGATAATTGAACAACAAATACTATCAACAGTACATTACATGAGCAATCGTAAACACATATTTTTCAAACTGCAATATCTCTTCCAGTTTTTCATGAGATATATCGGATAAATTAATCAATTCATTATAAAATACAACTTAATTATAAAAGCTTTTGTTGAGATTGAATGACTTGAAAAGCACTTCTGCCCTGACTTATAACATACACACATATTAAAACGATGGTTAAACTTAAATTTTCATCCCTTTGTGGATAACTAGATAGAGCAGAATGAATTCATAAGGTTACCTTGTGGTGTGTGCTACTTATATTGACATAAGTAGTATATGACGTTAATCGTGAACAGAAGGTCTGGCAACAGAGAGACAAGAGGATCAAACAGTGAAGAATCGAAACAGAATGCAATTTGTATGAAAATGAAAGAACAATGAAGTCTGAGTCATTTTGAGACAATTGATGGACATTTTGCAAATTAGGCGTTTACTTCATGATTTTGTAGGTGTCATTACCAAGGTTTGATTTGATAATTTCGAATAAATTGAGCATTGGGTTGATTGTTATAAATAAAAATAATATATTTGTAATATCCCAATGAGTAGAAAATTGGATTTTCTGACGTTTCGTGGCTTAGTGTAAGTCACTTCTTCAGAGAATAAATAACCAAAATTAAATTAATCCAAGTTTAAATAGTACAGTATAGTATAGTTTAAATAGTACTATTTAAACTTGGATTAATTTAATTTTGGTTATTTATTCTCTGAAGAAGTGACTTACACTAAGCCACGAAACGTCAGAAAATCCAATTTTCTACTCATTGGGATATTACAAATATATTATTTTTACTTCACGATTGTTAGATTTTATTAACAAGTCCTGTAATTTTGTGTTACATATATTCGATTGTCCCCACTCGTGTACTGTTCACTACAACCTAACTTACATGATTTGATCCTAATTAATGACAATAAATGAAAATACTCGGAACCATATTTAAAATGTAATCTAGCGACTGACAATATATCAGTTCTAAACCCTCTGTACAAAGGGTTTGTAACAAATAACAATTATTTATCATACTTCACTATATGTATACATAGACTTGAATTTCTTGTCTCATTCACTAAACTGTAAGAAATATGGTGTTATTTTGATTGTTGAAACGGGAAAAAACCATAAAAACTATACAGTTCATATCATTTTAAAAATAAAAACTGAAGGAATCATTCAATAAGAAAATGTTATCAAGCTAATTTAAAATTTAATCCTAATAAGTATTTCTTTTTCTAAAAGAAAGATAAACGACTGCAGGAACTAATAACATGCAAATAAGAGTTAGTTATAAAGAAAGTAAACACTCAAACTTACAATTATATGCAGCCATTAGGTGATTTAAACCTTCTAGATAACAATCGTAGGCTTCACATAATTTTCCCAGTGATTGTAGTTGAGGCGCACGTTTAAGATATTCGGCCTGTTAAAAAGGAAAAAATGTGAGAACCATGATTAGAATGATTTTACAAGAACAAAATTATTTATTGTGCATGTTTTGAATAATATGAATATTCAACAATAAACTAGAATGAAATCAAATCTTTGACAAGAAAACAATGAATTACAAAGAATTAATCATCACACTTCACAATGATAATTGATTTTTTCTTATAAATAAAGATGTACGCCATAGTGTCACTGAACATAATGAGTAAAGTGTCATATTACACAAATTGTTAAGTGAATAATTAGAACACTGTCTTCCAGTGAATAACATCTACTAAGAACTGATATAATGTGAATTACCAGGTAATTCGTAGTTTTGGATTTGACTAATCTAAAAATGAAGGGAACATATCGTTTGAATAATCTAGAATATTTTTGACTCCATTATCAAAATGACAAGGTAGAAAACAAGAGGATTGTAGTACAAAATATCCATTAATCATACAATTCAAAAATATATATCCTTCCGTTCACTGATTGGATAACAATGAGTTGATAATGTATAATCAATGTGTTTTCCAACAATTGCTCGTATATTTTGGAACTATCAAGTTAATAATTTCGAGGCTAGACGCAGAGTACTAGGTAAATATGGAAAGTTAGTTGACGAGCTAGTGAAACTTTATCGACTGAGATCGTTAGGACATGTATTACATATGCTGATGGCTGGTGTAGGGGAAGCTGGAAGAACTTTAGGAATGACCAGACCGAGACACGGTATCAGTGCATGGAGACGCTGACTATTGGAATGAGCAATGTAAGTATGTTCAGGATAACTTCTTAAGGTCCGCGTGATTATCGCAAGCGAGGGTTAGAGACTATTGTTGACATGGCTCAAAATCATCTGCAATGCCTCAGGTGCATTTACTGTCTTCCCTCAAATCCTTATTTTTTAAATTCAATATATTTTTTTATTATTTCGCTAATTCATATTTGCTAGAATTGTATCTAGGATACCTAATCTCTTAAATCACCTCTCCATTCTGGGATTTTCCCTTGCAATTTCATCCCGCTGTTTTAATGTATTGTGGCAATTTGAACCAATGCACACATGTGCCAGCGTTTACGTTGCATCTGACTGACCAATCTAGTGACTTCTAGCCATCTAATTACAGTTTAGCCGATATGTCTACACTAAAAACAAATGTTCAGATCGAGAAAATAACAACCAAAGAAGAAGAGAATCGATACAAATCCACCTGGAGAATCAATCAGTTAATAATAATAATGGTAAGATTATATAACCTAACTTACAGCTTTATCCAGACTTTGTGCTGATGGTGCATGATCTAAATCAATGAATGGATGTGAAAAAAATTGTTCATGATTTAATCGTTCAGAAGGGTCCCGTTTTAATAAACCATGTATTAAAGCAGCACATGGTTCGCTTATTTCATTTGTAGAAGGTAACTATAAACATACAAAAAAATAGGTGAATTAACGGTGGTTAAACATTGAATGCTTAAAAATCCTTTAAGGAGAATAGTAATTTATTGTTGTACAACCAATGAAAGTTTATATACATAACTGTACACAGAATCTATTGCTTTTCAAACTCTAAGAAAACATTCATATAAAAATGCTCAACTTAAAATTCTACAGGCAATAAACACCGATAAGAACGGATACACTATGATCGTTAGAAAACAACACTTCCAAGATGGCAATGAATAAATCCGAGCAACCTAAAGAGTGATTGTGAACAGTAATATCCAATCTTTCATGAATATAATTGTTTTTGGCTTTATAGAGGTCACTTTATACTCCCTGAACTTTACTACGAGCAACAGGAATCAATGGGGCAATTGAGTGATATCTTTGGGATCGGTCTTTTCTAACTCTTTCTTTTGTCCATCACACGGTAGCATCGCATAAAATTCTCGTTGAAAACACTTTAATGACATCATAATTTAAACCTGACACCAAAATGACTACGCCAATTGATAAGGTATTCGCTACTCTTAGCCGTACATATCTCTAACCTATACTATAGGGTGAACCAACCAGGTTTGACATAACTATCTTACTATTTAGGTGTATGAATAAAAAAGATGTAGACTATAAACCGACGTTTGGTTGGTTGCAATGAAAACAATAAAACTAGGTACTTTCGAGATGTTGGATTGCCTAGAAAGACGATATTATATGTTAGTGGATATGAAGTGATGGCCAGAGTGTAAAGACAAATAGGAAAGAGAGGTATACAAAATAGAATATTCGGGTATTCCACTCTTCATACCATAATCGTTTTGCGGAATATGGTATAGTACTCTTTGTGTCTCACTTTTCGCTGCAGTCAATATTATTTCCCACTTTCTACTTTTCACCAGTGTGAGGGGACTAAGCGAGGTAAGGTTCGGATCTGACACCTAACATGATGGAATAATCAATAACATACTTGTTAAATCAGTACAAACATTAAAAAGACATGATGCTTTAGTGCACTACATACAGTGGACAGTGATATAAATGCACTGCAAACAATAAGACCGAATAGAATAATAATATATATGCAACAATGTGAAAGGGTACAACATGCTAGTAACATAAACTAGTGTGCCCAATTTTATTAAAAAACTAACACACAAAAGATACAACACCACATAACCCCATAAATCAGAACATATCTGAAGCTAAGTGCAAATTTCTACAGATCTACTTAGATATATTACACAATGAAAATGAACTTATACCAAAGTTGAATGGTAATGGAGTACAATAACAAAACAAAGTAATAGTTTACCCTAAAAAATCCTGGCAAAAATACATATGAGTTAACATTTTTATTGAAGTACACGTTTTGGTATAATTCATGCTGCAGACATAAAAATAAGTATAACTTTTTCTCCCAAAAAGCAAAAGTACTCACATAAAAAAACCAATAATCAATATAAACTACCTTAATTTGTTCATCCATTGCCACTAATTTCTCTTTTAATTGTTCAATTGTAATTTGACCATAGGGAGTAGTGCCAAATAGGCATTCTATTTTATTGGAAGGAAATAAAAGAATTCAATATGGAAAAGTATAACCTTTTTGAACAAAAATTAAAGATAAAGAAATTATTTTATTTCAGTTGAACAGCTCAGTTTTTGCAGGGTGTGATATCAGTTGATGAACTACTAACTTTCCTTTTCCCTCTGAAAAACAAAGAATACTCGACATGACTTTCGTCCTTATCGTTGGTTGTCCTAAAAATAACTAAAAACACTCTAATAGTCAAGCCTTGATTTTAATACTTGTATGGGAAACATGATACTACAAGGTACTTAGAGTTTTGGTATTGTATAAATAACTTTCACTATATCGGGTTCCCAGAGCACAATTTCGTCACCGGCTTTCACTGGACTTTATAATATTTAATCGAAAACTTAAAAAACTGGACTGATGTTAAATACATAAACCAAAAAATACGGACAAAGATAAAATGGAACAAAATTACACAACTTTTCTTTACAACTCATTAAGCCAGGCAGACAGTCAGTCATATATGCAATGTAAAACCCCGCACAAAAATGCATTAGTTCAAATTACCACACCATATGTAACATACAACAAAATAAAACTATCAAGACAAATCCCGAAGTAGTAAAAGAGATTAGGCAAAGATTCTGTTAAATGATTCCGAGAAAAATACAACAAACACATACTACTGACGCTGTGTGCCAGTCAAAGTAAATGTGATTGGTTATCGAGTGTAGACAAACAGGAACTCAACTTATTGACTATTAAATATGTGACTTACACTACTTTTATTGATTTCTACTACAGACTCGATGAAAATGGCTGCTTGTAATTGTATGGAATAAAGTATCATCTAGCGTTACTCTGGCTCTACATTCTTGGTCATGAATCGGATATCCGATATGACGTGACCTGGCATGAGTGTAGCGGATCGTCCGAGTATTCAATCTAGAGATATTGTACACTCGGTCACCTAGATCCGTCTCATTATCATATATTCCTATTATCGTAATATGGTAATACCAAGTGCAGAGAGGAAATTATCTCAATCAATCCATAATATCAAACACATAAATCAACGAATCTTTATTCCAACATCTTTTGTACGTTGTCAGCTTCCAAGCTATTTCATTCATGGCTTACTCAATAAGAAGTGGTTTGATGAAGTAGGAATGCTAGAATATATCATGATTACTGTACATGACGTCTTCAAGCAGTTTTCTTATAACTTAATTTCGCTAACTTCAAGGGACATGTTAGTAAAGATTTTGGAGTCGATAGTAATATTTATAGCGATGAAAAAGATCCGAAGAGAAACCTAATAGCAATTAAACGAGTGAGATTATGAAGCAATGTTTCTTCAAGCAAAATATCGAAAAAAACGATAACAACTTTTGAAAAAATGTTAAGCTTCATAAAAATACCAAACTCTTACAGACCTCATTACTACCCTAGCAAGAAACTCAGTTTTACAGACTCTCCTTATTAGTTGAAAAGTGGTTTCAAAACTCCAAGGTCATCCTTAACATTTCTAACTGACTCTTCTCCATAGTATAGCTACTTTATTCAGTTTGATGGTTCTCACGCTGAATTTACTGGAAGCTACCTTTAAATTGGTTAGTTCTTAAATACCATACAACTGAATTATGATAAGTATATCTGTGAAACGGCTGAATGATAATCCATTCAAGAATAACTGGATACCATAGTAAGAAGTAATGGTTTAAATCGATACATCGAAAAAATAAATGTATGATTGAAGCTACAAAAGTGACGTAATTTTATTTTATGGAGATGTCGATTAAATCCATCCTTGGAGTGTGTTTCTCTTCCTTATGAGGATAAAATATTGGTCCAGGACTTGTCTGAATCAATACTTTAGCCAATCATAGGGAGCAACCCTGAAGGGTTGATGTCTAACAAAATCCCGGTACGCATTCCAAAGCTCGCTTGACCTTTACAAGTTTATATCACCTGTAAAGCAAGCAAAATGCCCACCTGGTAACGAACGATTCAAGCATAATGAGTATAAATTAGTCCCGTTTTGCTTTATGGCTGGGAAAAGTACACTTCAGAAGCAGAGGATATTCACAAGCATTAGAAAATAGGTGTCTTTGAAGCATATAGTGAGACCACGAAGTGAGCAATGGTGGAACTAAGCTAAACTAGAAACCATCGCCTGGGATGGTTAGAATGCGTGATACATATCCTGATACACCACCTAACCCAATGTGAGACATTCCTTGCCATAGAAGTAGGCCAGAAGACATGCAGTGGTGAACAAATTAAAATGCTGAACCAATCCAGGAAGTTACCGATTGCTGGTCTCAATCCCGTCAGTAGTTGTAGATCTTTTATCTGAGACCCACTCAGTACTTTTAGGCAGTTTTTTGAGACGATTGGTGAAAAAGGAGTAAGATCAGTTAGTGATACAGTTATATACAGTACCCAACTTCCTATAGATCTTGAGTTAAGTATCATTCCTAACTTTACATTCTCCAAAACACCAAATCCTCTTGTATAACATTTCTCACTTTCAAGTTTAAATTGCGATATTATTTTCCATCCAATGATCTCCGTCATTTAAATTTTCTCTCTGTGTGATGTGGAATGTGGCAACATGGACTGATACATATCCGTTCTAGGCTTCATTTAGACAATGAGTGACTGACTTTACTGAAGTTTACCCTAGGTATGACATAACACTGACCGCCGTCAGACGATAAACTGTATAGTATCTAGCACAAAATGCCAGAAGGCTAAGCGCCTCCACACTTCTTAGTTAGATATTTATCTACATTATTTATGATTTTCTAGATCAATTAACTTGAATAGTGGTTCGGCAATTTAAGCTCTCCGAATTTCGCTTATTTCGGTTAGGAGAAAAGAATAATATCACAAAATCATACAACGAGTGTGACTGAAAGTTGAGTACAAGAAAATATGCTAGGGAAGTGAACTGCACTAAATCGATTTGTCCAGTTTATCTCATTACCATTTTCAGTATTACCTATTGAGATAGATGGTTGGTAGCCATTTGTGATGGTCATGAAATATTGAGGCTCTACTGTAGTTAGAAATGTAAATCCCTTGATGCCAAATTAATGGTCAGAAGGTCGTAAAGTTTGAACCCTGCTGGGGCTGCTAAGGTACATTGCTGAAGAGTCCCATAACATGACCAAATAGCTGCCCAGTGTCCCACCCATTTTTAATGGTAATCTAACAAAACCCAGTCCGTGATATAAAACCACGAAACTTGTGAAAAAACCTACTGACCTAGTAGATGAGATTGACCACACTATAGTGAGAACCTACAGTCATAACGATCCCATACTGTCAAAATTACCATTCAACTCACCATATAGAATAATACCAATAGACCATAGATCACATGAAGGATGATAAAAACCCTCGCAGAATATTTCAGGTGCCATATACAATAATGTGCCACGAACTTCATTCTTTTTAGCTGTCTCTTTAATACATTGAGCGAATCCAAAGTCTGAAATGTTATTAACGAGAGAATAAATAGACCGATCAAACCATAGATAGAGCAAAACGATGGGCAAGTAGTTACTAAACGCCTCCCTTTATAATAAATATGATCAAAAGTTTACGAGGAACAGAAAACTAATCGATGAACTGACTACAACAACAACACAAAAACGAGATAAAGTCGACGGCTTTATGATGAAACAACATGAAGTTCCATGTATACTTGCTAATTGCAAAAGGGATCTCCTTACTTCTACAAATATATGAGGTTTTATGGGCTCATTTTCAGTGTCTTCACCAAACAGAACACCATCTGAGTATTCTAAGTCAACAAAAAGTGGACACATTAACACCACTCAGATCGATTCTGATCCATATCACCCAATTTCTCTAACCATTGGTCAGGGTAATCACGCAGACCCCGGACAGGCAGTAAGCACATGTCAACACAGTTCATTTCAATAGTCAGTGACTTTATGGACTGATATCAAGTTTTGGCTTGACCACTAGTAACATTCTACCAACCTATTCCAACCCTAGTCAGGATTGTATGATTGTTCCTCATACACAACACTTATCCCAGTCAGCTAACTCAATGAGGGCTCATTACGTCGCTAACCAATTTTTAATATTTGCCAATCAGCCTACGCCTAATCTTAGCATCATTCGCTCAATTGTTCACGATAAGAAAGTATTGTCTCGAAGATATGTATGACCAAAAACCTGCTGTTTACACATGATTCCTATTTTCATGGACCACTTTTCACAGCAACAGTATAGAGTGAACTGATATGTAATACAATTGCTTAATTCTTTAACAAACAGACATCTCATCTACGGACACGGGTGACGTACTGAACAAAGGTAATAGGGTCTTTTAAATCCGTGTCACCATTTCGTTCGACAACAACCCACCAGGGTTGGTGAACTTACTTACTTACGCCTATTACTCCTCGTGAAGGAGCATAGGCCGCTCACCAGCATTTTCCATCCAACCCTGTCCTGGGCAATCCTTTCTAACTCAGTCCAGTTGTAATTCATCGTTTTCATATCTGCTTCTATTATCCGACGCAATGTGTTCTTTGGCCTTCCTCTTTTCCGCTTCCCTTCAGGATTCCAAGTTAGGGCTTGCCTCGTGATGCAGTTTCATGATTTGCGTAATGTATGTCCTATCCATTTCCATCGTCTTTTCCTAATTTCTTCTCCAGCTGGAAGTTGGTTTGTTCTCTCCCAGAGAAGGCTATTGCTGATGGTATCCGGCCAATGGATGTTGAGTATCTTGCGTAGACAGCTATTTATAAATACTTGTACTTTCTCGATTGTGGTTGTTGTAGTTCTCCAAGTTTCAGCTCCGTACAGTAGAACTGCCTTGACGTTCGTATTGAAGATTCTCACTTTGATATTGGTTGACAGCTGTTTTGAGTCCCATATGTTCTTCAATTGTAGGAATGCGACCCTTGCTTTGCCGATCCTCGCCCCTACCTGCATCTGAACCTCCTTGTTCATCGACGATGTTTCCTAGGTATGTGAAGGACTCTACATCTTCCAGAGTTTCGCCATCAAGAGTGATTGGATTGCTGTTCTCCGTGTTGTATTTGAGGACCTTGGTTTCCCCTTTGTGTATGCTGAGGCCTACTGATGCAGAGACTGCTGCTACACTAGCTGTCTTCATCTGCATTTGTTCGTGTGTACGTGATAGGAGGGCTAGGTCATCTGCGAAGTCCAAATCGTCTAATTGATTCTGAGCTGTCGATTGTATTCCGTGTTTTCCTTCAGATGGCGAGGTCTTCATAATCCAGTCGGCCACGAGAAGAAAGAGAAATGGCAAGTGTAAGCAACCTTTCTGAATCCAGTCCTTACTTGGAGTATATCTGCCAGCTGTCCTCCATGCACGACCTTGCACTGTAGTCCGTCGCATGAGTTCCGGATAATATTGACAATCTTCTCAGGAACTCCGTAGTGTCGAAGAAGTTTCCATAATGTCCTCCTATCTATATTGTCGAACACCTTTTCATAATCAATGAAGTTGATGTATAGTGATGAGTTCCCCTCAACTGATTGTTCGACGATGATCCGTAGTGTTGCAATTTGGTCTGTGCACGACCGATCCTTACGGAATCCAGCTTGTTGATCTCGAAGTTGGGCGTCTACTGCATCCTTCATCCGGTTCAGCAACAATCTGTTGAAGACTTTCCCTGGTATTGACAGTAGTGTAACGCCTCTGTAGTTTTCACATTTGCTCAGATCTCCTTTCTTTGGAATCTTGATGAGGTGTCCTTCTTTCCAGTCCATCGGCACTTGTTCCTCCTCCCAAATCTTTTTGAATAGAAGATAAAGCGTGCTTGTGGTTGCTTCGATGTCTGATTTCAGTGCTTCAGCTGGTATGTTGTCGGGTCCTGCTGCTTTCCCGTTCTTGATTTGTCTGACGGCCATTCTAATTTCTTCCGTCGTTGGTGGGTTGACATCTATAGGAAGATCTATGTGTGCTGCTTCGATGTCCGGTGGATTCATTGGAGCCGGCCTATTCAAGAGTTCCTCGAAGTATTCTACCCATCTGTTACGCTGTTGTTGAATTTCGGTGATTGGCTTGCCTTCTTTGTCTTTGACCGGCCTCTCTGGTTTACTGTATTTCCCTGATAGTTTCTTCGTTGTATCGTGAAGTTGTTTCATATTTCCTTCTCTAGCAGCTTTTTCTACCGTCGTTGCTAGTTCTTCCACGTATTTCTTCTTGTCGACTCTAATGCTTGGAACCTGTTGTTGAGAGCTATCTTGAATTCATTGAGTTTGTCAGTATCTCGAAGGAAGGCTGTATTGAACCTTTGTAGTGCTGTTTGTCCACTTGTCCAGTCCTTTTAAATTGGCTACAACTAGGTGGTGATCTGAAGCTACGTCAGCACCTCTCCTGGTTCTCACATCTTCCATTGTCCTTCGGAATTTTTTGTTGATGCAAATATGATCTATTTGGTTCTCTGTAGTGTGGTCCGGTGAGATCCATGTAGCCTTGTGTATACGCTTGTGTGGAAATATTGTGCCTCCTATGACCAATTTGTTGAATGCACACAGATTTGCAAATCTTTCTCCATTTTCGTTTCTTTCTCCCAGTCCATGTCGTCCCATAATATCTTTATACCCAGTGTTGTCTATTCCGACTTTGGCATTTAGATCTCCCATCAGAATAGTTAGGTCCTTCCTTGGGCATTTCTCAATGATTGACTGTAGCCGCTAGTAGAACTGATCTTTAATGTCGTCGTTGCTATCATTGCTGGGTGCATAACATTGGATAATATTCATTAAGATCCCCTCCTTCTTTGTTTTGAATGATGCTTTGATGATTCTGGATTCGTGAGATTCCCATCCTACAAGTGCATTTCGTGCTACTTTGGACAGCATAAGAGCGACTCCCTGAGTGTGTGGAGCATTGTCCTCTTCGTGACCGGAGTATAGCAGCATCACTCCCGTAGCTAGCCTTTTCTGTCCAGCTTGGGTCCAGTGGGTTTCGCTGATTCCCAGTACTGCTAAGTTGTATCTCCTCATTTCTGTTGCTATTTGACTGGTCTTCCCGGTTTCCCACATTGTTCGAACGTTCCATATACCTATTAAAACTTTTGCTCTGGTTGTTAGAAGGGGCATCGGCCTCGTGGCTTCCGAAGGAGCTCGGCTTTCACCATGAAGCGTCATAATTCTTCTAAATGAAGACCTTCTAACTCCCAGGGCAGAGTTAAAATGGTTTGGATTATTTTTTCTGGTAAGCGTTTTTTTAGCGAGTTAGTTTTCTACGGGATGAGGACGCTAACCCCATGCCCAACCCTCCTTCTTTACCCGGGCTTGGGACCGGCAGTAACCCTATAAGAGCTACAGGCGGAGTTAGGGTTGGTGAAACTTCCAACGTAAATGGTGGTCAATACCCCCAACTACTTCACTCCGTATGATCACCTAGAAAATTTCTGAAGCAAAATTTTGCATTTAACGAGGAAGAGATGCATTCCAGAAATTCTTATAAAGCCGTAAAATCAAAAGACAACTACCTGAGGAAGGTGACACAAAAGCTTTGGTGCCCTTAAAGCACTGCTTGCATATATTGAGAAAATCAAATGAGCTATCCCAAGAACAGATACAAGGTACTAGGTAAATATGGCAAATCGGTTGATAAAATTTTTCTTCACTTAAAGCCTGAGCTCTAGAATTATTTTATAACTATTATTAGGCGAACTCATTTTTTTCAGAATTATCCTCTCTATCCCTAAATTACTAATCTTATTGAAATTACTGATACTATTTCTACTGCCGTAGTATTCATCCTGATGTTGCTGTGTTGATATAGCGTAGTAACTTGGACTGAGGCAAGCATGTGTTAGATTACACATTACTTGTGACTAACCTTTTCATGGGTATTTTCTGATACATTAGCCCTTTATTCTACAGACATTGCTACTGGAGACAGAAATCCTCTGGGTAAAATCAGGTGTTATTTTTATCCCAGATCTTATTTAACTCGTGCTGTGAGGAGGCAGTATTGTTGAAGATAATGGCTGTCTGACGGTAAGAATTTGTTTTTGCCATATTGGCGTACAGTTGTTGACAGTACAACTCCGCCCATGGACCTTAAGTTTGCTGTTTTTGGACTTACCGCTCTCCAATAGCCCTGCCTGGTATGGCAGGTGTAATGTTCTATAGCCCGTCAACTACCACGTGACAAAACCGCCAATCAGAACACCGACCTATAAGATCTTTGCCTTGTGCCAAAACAAAGATGCGTTAACCAGTACGAGCATCCTAGAGTCAACTCTGAGTCTTTATTGGTTCTGACCTAGCCCTGCCCTTTGAGTCCAGAACATAATCTCAACTCCCACTGTATATATAATATATTTCAGATATGCACAATTTATATACAAGTAAATCAGACCGCATCACACCATGAGATAGAAAATAACAATCATATAAGATCAAGCCGAAAGTGGTTGGAAGTGTGAGCAGGTTGAAAATAACTTATGAATAGTAAATCGTATAACAGTAGTCAGGAGATCAAATGAAAGCTTGTGATAAAAGGAATATGAATATATATATATATATATATATATATATATATATATATATATATATATATATATATATATATATATAATCTGGTTGCTTAATAGTTATCCAATAGGAATGCATGTAATAACAGTCCATAAATAACTCCTGCCAGTTACCACTCAACTATTCATCATTCGGATAAAACAGCAGGACCTAAAGGAATAAGCGTCCCAGCCAATACAGCTCAATTAGATAACCAGGATATAGAAGCCTGACCACTGTATCAAGGTGCCAGCTATTCAAAGAGACATCTTATGACAAACGTTCGATGCCAATATATATCTTTCCCTTACCTTACGTTTGTAAATCCGAACCTGTCTATAAACTGTTCCTATATCCAAAACCCCACTACGTGGTGATTTCATTTAACCTCCATCGGCTATATACATTGTACTGTTGTCAAATGGAAATGTATCCAGTAAATTTACGCCTTTCAGCCGGGTTATGGAATACAGAAAGTCAATCTAAGGAAAATCTGAAAATGTGTTTCCAACCCCATGTTTGGAAAGAAAAACGTATGTGAACTTTCTCCGATCGCTATCCCTTCAAGTATTGCAAACATCGACCTTTTTATGCTGATGACACATTACTCATGACTTCAGAAATGGTAGGAGGGGTTTACAGACTAACCATGCTTTAGTCTGAGAACCAAGAGGGTATCTATGACAAGGAAATTATATATAATGGTTAAAGCGCCAGTTTCGAAAACTGGGTCACAAGTTTGAACTGTGCCAGTATTTATCTGAAACCTGTGTGGCTCAGAGTACTGGAGCATATACTTAGTTACTGGGTTGCATCGCCACCGACAAATTTGTGAGCGATATATGCACTGGCACTCATTTTCTAGTGCAATTAAATAAATAATAAGTAAAGGCCACTCGTTGATAAAAAGTTTTGCCGCATTGTCATAATTTTCTTGCAAATGCTAATTTGTAAGATGATTTGACGGTTGTTTAATCACAATCCATAAGATCAAATACTTCTTGATTACACCTAAAGTGAACTGCAGCTTACAGCTAAACAGAACATCATGTTGACAAGCCTAACTACATAGCTACATCTAAATTGTCTCAGAATATTATATAAACAGCTTGGTAATACTTTCCGATAGATTATGCGGTGGCACTATTTATTCTGACAATGCTCAAAAGCGAACCAGATCTACTAATAAATGGGTAGAAATAATTTAGAGGTTCAGTTGTTTTATCTGGTGTCAGACTGTAATGAAAACTATCTTCGAAAATGACTTTATAATTCTATTATGTACTTCTATATAAACGAAAGGCACTGCGTGTCATACGTTATAAAAAAGGTAATAAAAAGTAACCGGACCTACCGGCAAGCTTCAAGCTTGGATTGTTAATTGATGTGAGCAAAATATTCTGAGGTTTTAAATCCATGTGGACTATATTTTTACTTTTTAAGTATTGAAGAGCTAAAGCTATTGGTTGTGATGAGGTAAATGTCAAGATATACACTTGCTTACCTAACTGTTGTAAAAAGCGTTGCACAAGCAGTTCATCTAATCTTCTTTTCAACCTCAAAAATCTGCTAAGATCTCCTCCGCCACAAAACTCCATTATAATATACACAAAAGATGCATCCCACTAATCCGAAAATCACTAATTAATATAATCTTACTGTAAAATCAAGCATACGAACAATATGGGGATGCTCAAGAGCTTTCAAAATAGAAATTTCACTGACTAAATTATCCCGGGCTCGATTGCTTAGTTTCAACTTCATAATGCATTTAATTGCTACTAGCTTACTTGAACCCTTGGAAAAATATGAAGGTTATGCATGAAATTTTTACTTACGGAATTTCTTCCCATGTATACTTGTCCATACGTCCCTCTTCCCAGTAGCTGGGAAATAACAAAGCCCGGTACTTTGATCATTTGAAGGAATGACCAAACGTGTTAGTTTCCCACCTGATAAATATTATGATCTAGATAAGAAAAGTATGGAAGCGATGAGTGATAAAAAATTAATCGTGATAAAAATCTATTAGTAGTTCACCAACTGAAATTCAATAGTCAAATAGAAGTCACTATAATAGGTTCTGGGTTACTAACCCACTGGAGGAAATAGGTATAGCGGAACGTGTATCTGTGGCACAAATAATAAAAACAAAATATTCGAACCACCTGATCAGCCCCATGTTAAAAGCAGATTAACACAGATTCGGACACCATATTGCATAGGTTCAAAACGACGGTTAGTAGTGCACATTTTCACAAACAGGTACAAAAAGTAATCTAGATACTTATTCACAAAAACTCGAACTCCGGGTTATACCTTTTAAAATTTAATGTAATACGAGTTTCAATTTTTGAAGAACCAGTGGGTAAATAAATGCACTTGTTGACTGACGCCCTATATATGACTAGAATCAAAGTAATAATGGACATTAGAGGGGCTTACATATACAAGCAATTCTCAACAAAGAACTCACTCTTTATATTCACCACATCTTCACATTTAAGACCAATTTTCAACCTCTAACATATAATACACAACTGATAGATTAATTAGGTAGGACTGTTTGTGTCGCCCTAGAGGCACTACGACAATCTAGTTGCTAAAATTGTAGGTTCAACACATCCAGAGTTTGTACATAAATCACTGATGAGATGCTTTCTAACTCCAGGAGTATATCTTCAAGGTTTTAATGATAGCACATTACGTAGCCGACTGAAATTGATGGTACATTCAGTAGATATGTCGTGGCTGCAAAACACGACACATCATAAAAATATCCAATATTGGAAAATGCTACAATATTCTTATTATTCTCGCCCTTCACTAAATGTCTAAATCTGAACTGACTATACTACTAACAAGGTGAATGTCATCATATTCTGAAGTGACAAGTCCATCACGCTTCTTACACCTAAAAATTTGTACTTCTGACACTGATTTTGATCATATTATTAATGCAAGTGGATGATGCCATAGATTTCCACGATACTATCCACCAAGTAACTCTTAATTGACACTGATTTTTTATGTCCGGACCTAACCACCTGGTTAGGTCCGTTTCGAAATTACTTCACTACTAGTGAAAATATCCTCAGCACTAAGTATAATCACTGCTAATTAAACAACAAGAAGTCTTACGAATTTTTGGAAGTCTCTCCCAGACTGTAGGTCATAGCTCAGGATTTTTCGTTTACAACCAGTAAAGTTCACCTGATAGCTAGAAAGCGGAAACCACAGACACATTTTCCGAAAACATGACCAAGAAGCAAGGTTTTACAAGTACCATTGCAGCAATCGACAAATAGAACAAGTCAACTATATATCACAAAAGAGACTTACATTTGCCCATGTAACGAGAAAACTAAAATACGCGCCTTCGATTCCCAATAATTGGCAAGAAAATTCGTATAATTCTAATAGGCGTCGACTGGGAAGAGGGAGATTTCACTTAACGAGCTTCCGCGTCCAAGAATAATGAATTCCCGATGCTTCGAGGCACAGACCTAAGCATTCCAAGTGAACAAAAGAGAAGCATTGGTAACTCAGTATGGTATATTCTAATGTGTCCTAAAGAATACGTAAATTTTCCTCTAGAAGGATTACTAGGAAGTTCACTGGACCATCTAAGTCCCTGGTGTACATTACATCCACTTTACCCTCGTGATCGAGGATGGTTGTCCATCTGCCGATCGCAGTCAGCAGTCTGTGTCTCAGAAGTGGTTCTTCCCAAAGCCATGCTGTTGGAGTGGAAAGAAGTTTATCGGAAAGCAGTAGTCTCTTAGGCAGCCGTAATTCAGGAGTCCAAAGACATTTGTAGCTACTGAAAGGAGAAATATCGGCCAATGGTTTGGAAGATCAGGATTTTGTCACGATTGAGGCCATTTCTCACAGAAAGGCAGAGTGAACCATGTTCGACTCGATATGTGTATCCTTGTCTTGTTGCATTAGTTTACAGTACCCCAATGTAGTCTTTAACTCGTTTCGAAAACTTCTGTTAAGATGAAATGAACGCTCTTTTCAAGTGACTTGTGTACGACAAGTGAAATGTTTAGGGATTCTTTATTGTCAGATTAGTCCATCAACCCTGTCTCTAGCTTTCTTTTAACCTACTCTTACGCCGGATAATAAATCCCGTCTAGATAGGCGGCAACTAAGGTTGTGAGATATACGTCCCAACCACTTTAGTTGATGAAGATTTGCCCTGTAGCATTAACAGCGAGGATGATCCTGTAGAGGTTCTTGCAAAATACTACTTACGACCGATTATACTGCATAGAAGGCACATTTAAGATGTTCCAGACAAAAATCATTACTTTAACCATTTGAAGGCTTCAAACGGATCGTTGTTAAGAATGCTTGGTTAAAGGTGCTGATAATACCGCTGAGCTATAACTTTGAGAGTGACTGTCGGTAATGTCAAAATCACCTTTTATTGCACAACGCACGGAGCGAGTGAGGCTCGAGACTGCCATTTAAACTCATAACTCTTTCATTATTTAAAATACAAACAGAAAATACAATCCATGTATAAATAAGTAGATAGCTTCACCTTAAACGTCTTCCTCTTAGCAGAAGGTTATCTGCTAGCTCTTAGCCACCTAACTTAAACCTGATGATGTCACAGGTATTCAGTGTTTGACAACGCTTCTACCAGTAACACCTTCTAATATATTTCGTTCCCGCCCAGAGAAATCAAAAGACAGAGTCGAGGAGATTGGAAGAGTATATTTGGCGATGACCAATATATCGGAATTCTCTGATCTAATCTGGCTAACGATTGCGGTTGATGTTTAGCACGGCGTTACCACACGTGATCTGGTGCAGATGCCTGACCGAGCGCCTTCAGCTAAATGAGTCCACTAAAACATATGGTCAGCATCCAATGTCGAAAACCTAGTGCTATTTATTTTGGGGATTTATTTACCGCTACAAACCAATACAAATAATTCGTGTAGAATTATGTGATAACGTTGTTCCGTGGATTTCCCTGTTATTCTTATCAAAAGAAGTTAATGTCTATTTACTTGAGATGTCATCGTTTATCTGATATTTATCACAACGGCTAACTTGAACTCACTGAAATCTGTTCTCTGGATGGTCATAATTTCGTTGTAGTTGATCTTGATCACTGCATTGAAAATTTCGAGGAGTGTGTTGAAAAGTGGTAGAAATTATCCTCATAAATAAAGCAATTTATTGCGTCACTGACTAAAGAACACAGGTTTTCCAGAAAGCACAGTTTTCTTTTCGAAGATATCGTTTACTAAATCTGTATGTTTGTATATACAATAATTTAATGAGTACACGAATCTAAAGAAAAACAGAAAAACAAGTTTGCAAGTGGAGTAAGACTGACTAGTGCCATGGTCATCAGGAGTGAAAAAAGATTTATATCAAATATCTTGGGTTCATAAATCCAACTTGGCATCCTGATGGGAACTTATTGCCGGCAAGCCTTTCATGTGCCTTGTGCAACGCTTCAAAACACCAACACATTTTGACATAGAGAATTAAAGTTACTGTTGGAACCTATCTTCATACATACATACATGATGTTACATAGGTGGATTCTATTTTGGTATAACCCTCTATGGTGTGTAAAAATCCCATCCATATGTGTTCCTCGAGGTGGCTATTTTTTCTTTTGTTCCTTCTGTGCATCTTTTATTCTATCCTTGTCTGTATTTCCGTATATTGGTTTTTCTTTTGGGTTGCTTACGACTACTATAACTATTACACTGTCAGAAACTTTTGAAACAGGACCGATCTCGTGATGCGTTAAGTCATTTGGCAACTATTTCATCTTAGACCTACCTAAAATTTTGATTCATAGCGGGTGTCACATTGTATGATCGTCTTGTTGGTTCCCGTGGTTTAATCATAGAATCCATTTCTGGTGAGGAAGAAATTTTATTCTCTAAATGTTATGAAAGTGTGGCGGTAAGTAAATCCTCAAAACACATAGTTCTGAAAGTTTTCGGCAGTGATACTGGCTTTATTAAATTTACTCGACACTTTCTAGCTGAAGGCGCTCGGTCACGCATCCGTACTAGATCTTACCTTTAGGCTGGCATGCCTCATGTAACAGACTGTTAGTTGAGAATAAGTTTTTGCTGTTATTATCACAAATGAGTATGCAGTGCTACGCAACCAGATTAGATAACACGATTTTCAATATATCGATAGCCTTCCAAATATGTATTTGAACTACTTTGTTTCTGACTTCTGATTTGTGGTGGATCCCAACAAAAGAGCTTATTAAAGATATACCAATACGCAAGGTTATCAATAATATACCAAAAGAGTTAACAGCAAAACCCTAGGTGTCTGTCTATGAGTAAAGCAGAAGGTAACAAATTACAGTTACAATACAGATGGTATATTCAATAACAAGATAATCACAGTTGTTATGAAATGAATGTTACATGTAAGCTGCTCACTGAGATAGCAATCATAAATGAGTTCAGTTGATTAACGAAGATTCCTCTGCACGTGGTGGCACCAGCGGCGTAATGAGAAAGATTGAATCCAATAGCATTATTTAATAGTTATCCGGACCGAAATTCCGAAGTGATCTGGGAAGACCTAAAAGGATGTTATAACACTATTATAATCTTCAGTCAAAGGCCGTGGCCAATAAAGCAAAAGAACAGATAGTGTTTATATTGCAACCAGTGCGGCAGAATATTCGTAAACGTATATCTAAATAATTATGATCGTTTTTTAAAAACTGATGCAGAAAAACAATAGATACTGATTGAAAATGTGGTTACATATAAAGTGTGACAGATTAGAGAGAAAAGGCGGTTTTTATTTCTTGGTTACAAAAATCACTGAATATACATGTCACCATAGACTTGGCTGGGTCGGTTTACTTTGATTAAAAAGATGTTACGAGTGAAGGCGTTTTCAAACTTCCAATACCTATGACATCTTTAATGGTTATCCGGACATGATCTCGTACACTAAACAGTAAACTGTTCGTCTTTTCCTCGCTGGGACATTAAATATCACTTTAATTTTTACGTGTTGTGGCATTGTTCTATTGTATGTTTAGACATATTTTCCCATCCATCGGTATCTTATACACATCATGACGGAAGATAACTAAGCTAAATACCATTAAGTTCATTTTGTCACCCACATTTCAGCCCATGCCTTTCCGGCCGGACAACATACCAGCCCGGTTCTACCTGAAAAGCTAAAAAGGAATTCGATCAAATGATAGACTCCTGAATTATCTGGCCATTCAACAGCCAATGGGCCTCGTTTATGTACACGGTTACTAGAAAGTACAGCAGTGATTAGCGTCCAACTTGTAACTATCGACAAAAGAATACGAAAACTATTCCTGATAGTTACCCGTTATCTCGCATTCACGATTTGATAGCTAACATACAAAAAATCAACTACTTTTCCCGAAAATCTATTTGTTCAAAGCGTATAAACGAATTCCCATGGCCACAGACGATATCCGAAAAACCGCTATCATCACTTTATTCGGCTTCTACGAATTTTTGCGCATGCTTTCGGCTTAGGAAATACTGAACAATCTTTCCAGAGATTTATCGATAACGTCTTTAGAGGTCACAGCTTCGTACATGGTATGTTGATGACTGCTTGATCTCAAGTCTGTAAAGAAAATCTCATCTCCAGTATCTATACCTTGTTTTCAAACGACTACAAAAGCACGGCATTAATGTAAACATTCAGAACTGTCAAACTGAAGCCGACACCCTAGATTTTCCCGGATACATTATTGATGCTCAAAGCAGCTATTCTCAATCGTTCAGAGCCGGCTTCAATCAAGTAAATATGTACATTTAACGATCAAGTTAGCCAATATCACTCGTCAGATAGTAGTACAGAAGAAACAATACTTCATGTGTTGAACAGTTATATAAGTTAATTGATCGATGGAGTACGTTTTGGTAGTTGTATAGGCTGTACACATCAGATTTAACAACGGTTACGTCCCAAAAATGATATATTGCAGCATCGCGTTTGGTATATCTAAGGGTACTTATCGAGTATTTGTTCGTAGTATAGATCCGTCGTGTGCCTTACTGTGGAAGTGGATAATCTACAACCAAAAAGTTAAACAGATAAATAAGTATTTCCATCTATTTATCTCCGTTTTCCCGTGCCGATTGTAAATTATGATGGTGTAGCAGGTCTAGACCATAGATTGGCATTAAAACATCTGCAACAACGAAGATCCAGTGGATGGGTTTGCGTAAACTCACATTAAGATAAACTTACCGCTTACCATATGTGGCTGTTGGTTTTCCGTTTGCCACCTGTAAGTTTGAAATCGGTCCGTGCAATCATTCATTAGAATTCGGTGCAAAAACGCTAACTTCTGAGTCAGCGAACTTCCCTAACAACATCAGTGACGTATAGAAGACGGCTATGTTCACCAGCTACGTTCACCGTTAACGCGTACCGGCTTGAAAGTACTCCGAATCTGTTCAATCACGATGAATATGAAGTATAGGAATGAACGAAAAAATATCACGATATAAAAATTCAAGTAAATGAATGACATATAAAATTTCCGAAAGGAACATACAGTTTACAAACAGGTGTACCAGATTATGTCGGGCCCACCACTAAAGATGCCACAAGTATTTGAAGTTTGATAACACCTTAACCAGTTACAACTTCTATAATCAAAACGTACCCACGCAATGAAGTCAGAAGCTAACATGTTCGAAGGTATATTTGCTACGTTGTCACTATATCGAGAAGTGACTGATCTATACTGTCTGCGAATTTTGCAGAAGTTGAGCACACCGTTCAAATTCGTGATCTGGTGAGGATGCGTGATCTAGCGCCTTCAGCAAGGTGAATTCATTAAAACTAATGTGACCACCATCGAATGTTGAAGACTTACAGAGCTATTGATTTTGGGGATTTATTTCCCGCTAAAACGTCTTTATTTTTACCACTATAATAAGTATGCTACATCGACATTTTATGATGAGTTACTTGATTAAATTGAGACATGTGTACCGAAACTAACATCAGACCTCTTATACTCCAAAAGAATAAGAATAGTCTGGAACATAACAAATGATGAACCACGAAATCACTTCGAGGACTCAAGTTCAATCATTCTGACAAACGTCTAAAATCACTGGATCCCTACTCATTAAAGTACAGATGACTCATTTGCCACTGTCGAACGGCCCATAGGACGATAAAAACTCCTGAGTATTCTCTAAAACACCTACTTAAGCTCTTTCCCAACACAAACGTTAGGACCAAAGCCCAGAAAATAAAGGTACGACCCACAAAAATGTAGTGTAGACAGATCTTTTTCCCTTTATGATTAGCTAGATCTTCGAATTCCCTAACGACTTAGATGGTCAAGTGAATTTCCTAGTAGTCCTTCTAGAGGAAAATTGACGTATTCTTTAAGACACAGTAGAATATACCATACTGATTTACCAATGCTTCTCTTTTGTTCACTTGAAATGCTTAGGTCTGTGCCTCGAAGCATCGGGGATTCATTACTCTTGGACGCGGAAGCTCGTTAAGTGAAATTTCCCACCACTCAGTTCATAACCGTTCAGACTATTTAAGCGGCTTCTTTGAGTGTTGTGTTACAGTAAGTGCTATCTCAGATCATACATCAGTTAGCTGACCTTTGCTAACGTTTACAGTAAACATTTGTCCAAGACGTCGATGTATCTATAGGAGCTTCAACTATTGTTCTTGTCAAGATTTCGAGATTTTTAAAGATCACTAAATTGTCTACTCAGGCAGAGGATTTATGCCTTAAGACATACAGGAATTTCTGTAATCCCGTCTAGACGGGATTACAGAAAAATCGTCTACAGCTGTAGACGATTTTTTAAGTATTTCTGATACTCTGATTGGATGGTTTGCATAAGGTGGAAAATGACAGAGTTTTTTGGAGCTGTAGTCTATTGATTACAACTAGGATGAAATACCGTTCACCCTCCATACCATACCTTCTTTGAATAAGAGTCCCCATTCATATCATCAACTTTAACATCGACCCCGAAGTTTTTCAGTGGTGGTTCCGCGTTCAGGTATGATCTCCCCTAGTTGACCAGAAGAAAGCTCGAAGCACCCGAACTAGGACGTCTTATCAGTCCGTGAAATCATGTGTAGTCAGTTTTGGTCTTGTTGGCAGTTTCGAACTCCCTGCCTAGGTTTAGCATGGTTATCGTATCCGGTGGTTAGATGCGTTCGATGACATGGCTCAGTACCGATATCATTGGCGCAGATGCATTTACTCTATCTTCTTTGAGATACTAGGTTTCAAACTATTTTGTGCTTTCTTACTTAACGAATTCATCTTTTCTGGGGTTGTGTTATTTGTTTTCTAATCTTTTCTGCTGTTCTTACTACTACTCTAGGATTCGTTTTGACGTTTCCATCTAGCTGTTATTGTGATGTAGCAACTTAACCCGTTTGACATATAGGCCAACTTCCACGGTGTGTGTAACTGACCGACTAGGACCTAGAGGAGATATTTTCACGAAATCGTTATGTAACTTAATAGAGATTGCATCTACCATAATATTCCTATCTTTCTCTGCAGTTTGATCTTTTCCTTCAGTGAAAAATTGGTGAACTTGCTCTGAAACAGTGGCTAGAAGAGTATTCTCTTTTAATCGATGTAGAGTGGTAGCACCGGATATTTTTTCATCAAACTAGTAGCAGTACTGGTAAGGCTAAGTGGGTGGTATTTATTAACCAAATGTATGTCCCCAGTTTGTACACCAGTTACTTGGAAGTTTAGATTCTTGCTGTGATAAGCCAAACAGGATTGCCAGCGGTTTTGCAATTATTTCAGACAAGACATAGTTTTCATCATGAAGTATTTATCACTTCAAGGACTTCATTCGAAAATCTTAGATATAACAACCCAGACTATCGGTGACTTGATAAATTTGTCTAGTGGTCTAGCTTTTCCAATTTTTTTCCACTTCATTCAGCATCATATGTCAAGCCAGTGTATAGAAATTGACTTGACCATTCAGGATACTTTAGGTTCCCAATCTTATAAACTGACTTGTTTCTGCACAAAGCAGTCACTTAAGCATATGGCAACAATCTTCAAAATCTCGATGTCGCTATGTAGAAGAAAACGTCTGCGGAGAATGAGTTATAGGCTCTTTCCTCGACCTCACCTTATTTCAAAACTGAATAATCCTATGTTCTGTGTAACTTTATAATCCCAGTCAACGCTACTTTGCTTCACATTAAATTATCGTCTGCCTCCTTGCTCATCTGGCGGGTCAACCGACTTCAACTGTTTCCCCACACCAAATGTAATACAGTCTCAAATTTAATTCTCCTAACTTGCTCAAATTATCCTAAATTTTGGTGTTGTTTGTTTTCACAGCCACTAGGTGGTTATCGAAGTATTCATACACCACTCACTTTCAATTCTTTTATTCCAATCAGCTAATAAGTTGAATTCGACGAAACGTCTAACAATCAGTATCATATTGCCTCCATATCTTCTCCTGGATGTTGGAAACCTATGGCACTAAATGTCACAAAATCTGGGTCTAGGGTATCATGTCAGATACATCCAACCACATAATATCAAAACGCAGTGAACCCACTGTTAAAATGTTCAAATTAGTTGATACATTGTAATTCGATCAGCAGAATTAGATCAACACTAGGGGCTAGAAGAACGTGACATTAGTCACTATCCAGAAATCAATTAGTATATATGCAATAAATGAATATAAAACTGAAAGTTCTTTTTTCATAAAGTCGAGGTAAGCAGTCAGCTGACCATTGTCAACGTAGAACCTAGCGCATATACCCATCAGTTCAAATCCCCATGCCTTATCAGGACAGAGAAATGTGAAGTTATCTATACACAATATCAACAATGGTAAAGAAGGTTACTCAGGATGGATGAATTTGCGAAACAAAAGGCGTTAAATGATTCTAAAACACATGATCTAAGAGGGGACAAAACTTGAATGCATTTGCGTTACTGAAACCAATTCTATGTCATTTCACTCGACGTATCGATTGTTCACGATTATCATATGAACCCCGACTAGGTATTCTACACCTTGAAAAATGACTCATTCCAACAGTCATCGACTTCATGGACTGATTTGACGTTTTGGCTTGACCACCCCTAACATTCTTCCTACCTGCTTCTACGTCGAGTTAAGCAGTAGCTGGAAACTGGTATATGCATATTGCTGTAAGCACTTTAGAGATTTATATTAGTTAAATCTTAGTGTTCTAATATCTCTATGTTCAAGCATATCATTCAGAAGATTTGTAAATGTTATAGTTTATGTATACGTATAATGAATGTATTATGTTTTTTTTTTTGAAAATGTAAGCTGTATTCAACTGACCGGGGAACATCCTTACGATGAATACAAACTACCCTCCATCTCGTCTTCAAGTATCAAGTTTGTCATGTAAAAATAAGTGTGGCTTTTATGGGAATCCTTCATGGGATGGATATTGTTCCGTGTGCTATCGCAACGCTCATCAAAGACAATCGAATTTTCGTCAGGCTTCCTCCACTTCATCACTTTCAACTCCAAATTCAGAAGTAGAGGTTAAGCCTAAACATAGCACTGGAAGGAATACAACTTCTATCAAAAATATATTTAAGGTTCCTCGAGGTAAGGAACGGCCATTCTGTAAAATATCTCAGATGATAACCGGGACCAAATTTCAGTGAACCCAGAAGAGTGTTTACAAGCCGAAAAAGAATTTAAAACATTTCTAAACACCCTTCGAGCCTCTGCAAATGCCGACATTTCCCGCCATGTAGGTATTCAAATTTAGTAACTGAAATTTTCACAAGGTTTCAAAGCTTATGGAACAGTTGGAGCCTATTCGAAGTTCAAATATTAATCAAGCCTCAATGATTGTGCAAGACTTTTATCACAACCTTTCAAACCGTATTTCAAATAATCCTATGTATTCAGTACGTTAGTTTCCCATTCATATTGATATATAATATACTTTATGATCTCGACTTGTTAAGTGATTAATTTTGAGTCTTTCAAGTAGATTTAGTAATTAACGAACTCAGCTTCTAATTGCTCGATTGTAGATTCTAACCTTATTCATCTACTTTTATTTAATCAACCCAGTAGTATCATTAGCCCTTAGTGTAAGTGAATCTGTGCTTGGCAAATGATTTTTTAGGGAGCAGTGGCTTTGTTGGTAAAACACTTTAGTTTCAACCATCAAGTTCTAAATTTGAACCGCCGTCCACTTATTCTGTCTGGGTAACAGCAGTAATATTAAACTCCGTATACAATGATTGGCTAGCAACTGTGTACATAAATTTCTTCTTGGTTATTAAGTTGCACTGCAAATACTACTGAGCGTTTCTATTATTGCTAAGAGTTCTCAAGATAACTTTTCGGGAAATGTGGTATCACCATAGAGGTCCTTCTAACCAGAGCCATTGAGACAGTCTTCATTTCTAACTTAGTATTCTCAGATGTATTAAGGACCACTTTGTATGACTCCCGATTCAGCCAGTTCACTTCAACTAATTTTAACAATGAAAATTCTGGCTGAGAGTTTCTGTATTGTTTTAGGGTATGAAAGACAAGGTATTCCATTATTCCAAACTGTTTTTATTATAACGCCCATCTTTATAAACAGCCCACATCTAATTCCGCCACCGATTGCGTCTAAGATACTAATTGCTGTCATATAATCCAAATTGTGATACTTCAGAAGCTTACTAACAAGTAACAGGATTCGTTGCTTCCAGGTTGTGAGTTAATTTAGAATGTCTCCACCTTCAGCCAAATTTTAAACATAATCATGCTCATGGTAAACAAATATTTATTGTGTTATAGTTTCTGTTTCCAAATGAATGTTGAGACTAGAGATCTGCAGCTCAATAGGATGTTTCTATTTAGCTTTATACTAAGCTGAGTGATTTAATCATGGTTAAAGAACCTAATTCCACCCAAATGGATGTCAGTGTTTTGAGCACAGTTAAATTTTGTTAAGGAATGTATTGTCTCATTAACGAGACCTTCGCGTAAAGCACTGGGTAGATGAAACTCATTGCCAATGCCATATTGTTGTATGATTTAGGGATGCAAGGCCATGTTCTGGAAAAGGGTGGAAATAATTTATTATGATTACTGTGATTATTATTTTCAGATTGTGAAATGTCTATTCTCGTTAGTCAGAGGACCTTCATGGGTGATAAATCCACAATATATCTTATTTTCTATCGTTTTCCAGTTAAAATATTTCGTTTTGAAAGTAATCAATATTCCGTCGACCACAGAATCTTCGTTGTTCATTTAATTTTTGAATATTAAAGATTCCCATTGTGAAAATTAGAACAACACATATAAGCGAACAATTGTTTTCAATTAGATAGTCACCAGGCTTTACTCTAATATAAAATACGTAACCCCCTATCCCTTCCATGGCCAGTTATAACTTAACTAACGAAAAAAAGTTTTTTTAATTTTTATTATTAGAATTATTTATTTTATTCTATTTTGTTATCATTAACCTTATTTCCACATCCATTATTTGTTTGTAATTTTCCGCCTCTTTGTATTCTTCACTATCTAATTATCTACACACATCTTATTACGTAATGATTTTAATGTTTTGCGATTACTATTCCTAGTCTATTTACCCATGTTTGAGCTTCTATTTCCAACGTTTAACTATTGATAAGACTTTTGTTATCGTATTTTATTATTCTTATTGTTATCAGTTCACCTGTCTTCCTACCATCAACTTGTAGTTTTACCTATTATGTGTAGAGACTTATTCTATTTCATTGTGATTATTGACTCATATTGCCTTGATTGGTTTAACATTTTCGTATAAATATTCATGTATATTAGAGTAAAGCCTGATGACTATCTAATTGAAAACATTTAATTTTTATTGGGAGGTTATGAGAAAAATCTCGATACTATGTTTCAGAAATAACTTTTTATTCATTGATTTATTCCTTTTTATTAAAAAGCAATTTTAATCCATTTCAGAATTTGTCACCAAAAACCAAAGAATCTGTTTTAAACTCAGTTGAACGTTTCGTTACAACTTGGATTTATTTTTGGGCTTTTGCTTCACCTACAACGGATGATGAAGAAATAGATTTGAAATTACAGGAAAAAATTCGATCATTGCATTGGGTAACTCCCTACTTGCTTGATTCACCGATTAATCCTAATTCGTCAGAGGAACTTGCCCATTTAGATCTAGCAACATTTGGTAAGAATACCTAAATTTTGTGTGCACGATTTATGATTGTTGATTAATAATAAAGTCACGAGTTTAACCTTTACACTCAGTTTTTTTCTTGGGATACTCCAGGAATTATGGAAATGTGAAAATGGGTATTGTTTACGGTTAGTTTATAAATCGATATATTTACATTTATTCGTAGCGTAAACAGTGTCCGGCACACTGACACAAATAAACGGAATATGTGCTACGAATATTTAAATAGAAATCGGACATCCAGGAAATGTTCACTAATAGCGTAAACATATAATCATTTCGAAGTGGAAAGATGCAAACCGTTTACACCCCCTTTTTTATGGAGACGAGTAATTTGGTAATGGTTCTCAACCAGTCAATAGAAAAAACCTGTTTTTCCATAAATATATAGGCTGTGAGCTTCGTCCTATAAAAAGAAAACTTGTGTAAGATATTTATTTTCGTGGATTGGTTGAAGTTAGACATCAACACCGTTGGATGCTGGCTCAGTGATCCAGAGGTTAAGCGTTCAAGTGCGAGGCCGATAAATCCTGGGTTCGGATCCCACAGGCGGGATCGCGGATGTGCACTGCTAAGGAGTCTCACACTAGGACGAAACGGTCGTTCAGTGCTTCCAGGTTTTCCATGGTGGTGTAGCTTTAATTGATTCATGAATTCAACTATTAAATTAATTATTTTCCACCAAATGTTTTTATGATTTCAATTTATAACCTAATGCAGTGTATGATACTTATGCTGATATATATGAGTAGGATGTAGTACCCATCAGAAGTAGAAAGCCTGCTAGCAGAAGATTGGATTGAAGAGAACAGGAAGGAAAATAGAGCGCAATCGTAATAACAACAGAATTGGAAGAATTATGAAGCATGCAAGAGAAAGCCCGAAGAAGACGTGCAAATAATGTATTTAGTGTATGGTTTTCGTATTTTAAGAAGACACTGTAATTTAGTATTAAACAATAAATTGGTTATCCCCACCTGAGTTCTTGTTTATCAGGGTAGCAGTAAATATTCATATACTATCTATGTAACCAATTTAATAATTAAATGGTGAACAGTTATTCCCCGAACTTATTATTGGATTCAATAATCACATCTAGCATAGAATGCATTAAGTTTTGAAGTTTTAGGATAAAGTAGTGATAATCCAGTCACTTAAATAGATCTCAGTAAAAGTAGGGAAATGATAATCTTAATGATCTTTGTGGAAACCTATGAGTGAAATGTACACTTACAGTTGAATTAAATATTAATAACTTGAAATTTTACTTTTTTATGAATCACTTATTTCTCGTTTATAAAAATTTCTATCTGACATCAAATAGTTTGTTTGACAATTGGTACATCTTAACTATGTAGTAAGCAATTAAACACATTTAGTTGAATTATATAAACATATGGGACTAATTTTATAATGAATCATATCTTTTTGATCGACGATAATAAATAAAGTAGTATCTTGTAAATTCGTTATGGTGATTCCTTCAATTAGAATTACAACTTTTTTGTGTTGTATTTTCTCTCGTTTACACTTTTTTAAAACAATATAATGTCTTTAAGTCAATATTTATTAACACTGAGCTTTTAGTAAGTATTTAAAAAATCAATTTGAGAGATAACTAATCGTTACTGAGTATCAGTAAAACTCAAGTGTGTAACACATATGACCTTTAATGGAATAATTATTCAAGAATTTTGTTCTAGACTATTGTAGATCCAACATTTAGGCTACTGTATTCAATAGCACTATCTACTGCCTAACTGAAATAATCATATTTAGTTGTACTTCAACAAATTATTTGGTGTATATGCCTTACGTAGGTTCGTAATTTAAGCATCAGTTTTTAATTTTGGATGAATAGGCTAGTGAACTGATCACCCACACACGTACGTACACGTACATAGAAGCGTGTTAATTACGTATATCATCTTTCTTATTCCATTGTATAAATATAACCTGTAGACAACAGTTAATATGATGAAATGATCAAAGGTTATTTACAATAACTTAATGACTTCTTAAAAGTTGAACTAACTACATACATTAATGATCTAGTTTTTCCTGAGTTGCAGTTGGCAAATGTATGCATGGTGTTGTAAATCTTGACTTATCCATCTTGATGATTAGATAGTGTCGATCAGATTACTTATTTAGAAGAATAGTTCAATCTGCCCTACCTTGCCGAATTAACTAATATTCTTCTGAATATCTTCATAAATCAGTAAACAACCTACTATCAGTCTAAGTCAAGATGTATTTTTACACAGAAAAGGAAGTACGGTGTATCATTTACAGTATAGATAGCATCAATTTTATACATATTCAATACTGTCTTCAGATCGAATAATGTAAACGGTCTAAGAAAGTTAAATAAGATGGGAAAAGTGGTTACAAGATTGATAGTAGTGACTTTATGGTTGATAAAACTGTCCGTACAATATTATTTACTGCTTCATTTCTCTAGGTATTTTAATATCAAATTCTGATCACGTTAACCATTATCTATGTAGTTGCTTTCTAGAAATGCTTGCGTATTAAGAGACCTATTTAAAAGCTAATTTTCAGTTAATTATAAGCAACGTGCAATCTGGCAAATAGAAACATCGCGTCAAGCTGCCACACCATAACAACGAAACAATTATCAAAATAAATGTCACAGCAGTAGAATCATTATTACTAACATCAATGGTAGTAAAAAAGATTAGGCATAAAGAAGGTTGAATTTGCAAAATAAAGGTGTAAAATGATTCTAAAACACATGATCTAAGAGGGGACAAAACGTGAATGCATCTGCGTTACTGCAACCAATTCTGTGTCATATCGCTCAGCGTATCCATTGTTCACAATTATCATGTGAACCCCAACTAGGTATTCTACACCTTCAAAAATGACTTATTAAAAAAGTCACTGACTTCACAGACTAATACTATGTCTTGATTCATTTTTAGTGATTATATTTCTATTTCATTTTATTTGTTTTAATTTAGCTCTTATCAAAGTGAATACATTACTTGCATCTGAAGATAAATTAAATCAAATAGTTCAATGTTGTCGTAGTGTATTCGATGCATTAAGAGCTCACTATCGAAATTATGCCGCTATAACACAACAATATTTATCTAACAACGATAATAATGATAAAAGCCCAACACCTGATTATATGCCTAGTCAAAATGAAAATAACAATTCAACTCATGTACAAAATAATGTCATGAATAACTCTGTGAATATAACTAATAATGTTGTATTTGAACAAGAAGATACCGCTAATGCTGACGATTTTTTACCGACACTAATTTGGATTGTACTGAATTCAAATCCACCATTAATCTATTCTAATTTACAATTTATTATGAGATTTGCTAATCAGAATAGACTGAATAGTGGTGAAGCTGGTTATTTCTTCACGAATTTAGTAAGTGTTTCACTGTATTTTATTTATAAAACTTTTTTCTCAATCCATATTGCTTCTATGTATAGTACGAAGTAAATTTTGTAATTACTAATATGACTTTGGTGACCATATGAGTAATAAAGCTTAAAGATGAATAGTAATTTTCTAAGAAAATTTAAATTACATTTATATATAGTCAAACCAGTGATCTCTAAATTGTTCTTTTGATATTCTATTAATTTAAACCACGAGACCTGATTGGCTCCTAACAAAGTTTTACTGTTATTAACTGTACTTAATTGTTAAATGAATGTGATACAGACTTTTTTATGTCTTATAAACCTTTTACTGACTTTACTTCATAATAACTATTAAAGATTCAATTCACCTCAGTAACCACAGAAAAAATGAATATTAGTTAATTAGGATGAGGTTTGATTACACATGAAATGATTCCGAGTGCAGTTAGAGACAGAAAGACGGTTTCTTACTTTATGGTCCCACACATCGTGGAAAGATACTTATTCTTGAGATAATTGAAAATGGAAATGGGTTAGAGGGTAGTCTTGATGACCTAGAAGCGTGACTGCTATGGCTAAGGAACAGTTGCTTGAGCGCGGTCATAGCCTTTTTTGTGATTAGTTTTAGGCAAGTTAGTGTCACACTTTTAAGGCCTCACTGCTGGGGATGGAAATCTGCGGGGCAAAGTAAGGTGTGCTATTTTTAAGACCGATATTCTATAACGCTCTCCTGTTGTGGAGAGGCAGTATCGTTTCAGATGCCTGTTGTCTTAGGGAAAACCTTACTACATACAAAAAGTGTATACGCGTACTCTTCCATTACCCGTATATATATATATTGGTTTAATAGCTGATGATATGACATTGGATCTAGGCACTTTAGAGCAATATTGATTCATTAATGATGAACAATTGTTTTCTAGCTGAAATAGCAAATACTTCTCTTCGGATTGTTTTATAAAACAGTATGCTAAACTTAAACTGTCCATTATTATTACTATTTCATTGCAACTGAAAATAATTTAGTAAACATCCTACAAAGTATCAACACAACAAACATTTTATCGTTGATAATGTTATGCACTGTTTATGATTGTAAATCAGCAAATTTGATGTGGCCAATAACAGTGATTCTGTTGGGGATGCTAGATCCCCAGAAATCACTTGATAGACGTTTTATTTTTGTAATTTTACTTTCGAAATTTAAATTTCTGATTTTCGCATCAAATGTGCCCATTTCTACCTTCAGATTGTATTTCCCACTTGACAAGACCCTTAATGTCATTGATTCGTTCCCCCTTTATATGCTATTTTGTGACATTTCCCAAGGACCCTTTTATGCTGTATATATATGCTTGAGTTGTTTGCTCATTGTTCGTGCTTCTTGATGCTTGTGGAATATACCTTTCCTTCATCTGAACCGGGTCTTCTCTCTCTAGTTAGCAGGGCTGAAACGCATCGGAATAGTTTAGTTTGTCTTGTTGCTGTGTCGTCGATCCTTCGTTCCGTTCGCCGATTTTAGGTGATCTCGTAATTCCTTCAAAAATAGCAAAGTCCATAACAGTATACCATAGCCTCCTTCTCTTTTATCCCCGGCTACTTCGTAGGAAAAATCTAGTAAAGTAGAGTTACTTAATGGAGAGATCAAAGAAGATCAATTGATATTTGAATTCATTCAATTACATATCGGTTACATTCAGTGATTATTAGTCAGGGCATTTTCTAACCTAAACAAATGTCACATGAACGTGTCATACTGAATTAATCAATACAGTAAAAGTGTACTACCAGTTAAATGAACAAAAATCACATTAAATTAATTCATAGAAAGAAAAGCGTACTAGAAGTCAGTTGAATGAAAACTACCCTAAATCAATATATGATCTTACAACTGATTTCGTAATACATTGTCTTTGGGAATCAAACATCATTAACAAAGCTAAACCGCTTCCTTCAACAAATCAAACTTGTCTCTTGATCAACATTAAAGTTCACTCTATCCGAAAACCATAAAATATTTTCTTATTGAATTTCCCAAGTTTTATTCAATCAACACAAAGCTATCTAGTGAGTGTCTGACATTCTGATATCTATTTATTTATATATTTAAACACATAAACATAGGTACAAGAAGGCACCAAATAGATATGCGACACATAAACCATTCAATTTGTGTGAGGGCTACGATACAGTCCGGGTGCCCAGACTGAAACAGGTGGTTTTCTTAGGGGGCCACACCCCGAGCCTTGGACTTAAAGGTCTAATCCACAGGGCAGTGAAGCAACATAAGGAGATGCAGTCCCATGGTAACCGGTGACCAACAATTTGTTCATACGCCAATTGTTCCCTTAGGATGCTGGAGCCCATGTACACCATTGGTTTGGAATCAGGATTTTCCAACTTCCGTAGGTGGATCCTCCATATCCACTAACCCAGTTAAAGCGCCGGACATTCGCCTTTCGTCCTCTCAATTTCGTAAACAATGCCCCACAGCGAGAAGGTAGTGAGTAGGACTTCCCTGTCAGCGGTTGTATGCAAGTGGCCATGTGAGAGCATTTCAAGAGGGAGAGTTGACTCTCCCCACTCTCGGCCGTACCAGGGCATTTAGGGGCGACATTCTGAAAACAACCAACCAATGAAGCAATAGCCTTCAGTTATATATTCATCAAAGAAATTAAGTTTGTGTTGTAATTTTCTGGGTTTTTCGAGCATAATTCGTTTTTATCTAGAAAGTACGACATTTCATGTTGACTGTTACTGAAGTGTTACAGCTTTTATGTGTAAAATTGTTAAAAGCGAAATCTCCAAAAAACTAGCTACTTGCTATGATGAAAAGCTCTATTTAACGACATTTTAAATTATTTAGTCAATAGCTTAAATTTTACGTACGTAAGCATGACTCCACTGTTTTTAACGTGGTAATCCAGATTGATACGTTAGTTTATTTATTATGAAAGAATAAAGAAAAAGAGAATAACAACAACGGATGTTACGAAAAAAACATTATTTGTCAATTAATTGTCTCCTGTTTTCTTTTATCATACTTTTATAGTCGTGTGCTGTTCACTTCCTGAGAAATCTAACTCATGAGTCATTAAGTTTATCCGAGGAAGATTTTAGTCGATGTATGCGAAAAGGATTATTATTAATCAGACGTCCTGGTGAACCATTATCAGAAAACGAAAAATTATTAATGGATAATGGAATTCGTCTTGCGGATTTAGAAGATAGGTAAATGTGTATATATTTATATTTATTTTAAAACAATAAATTTTCAATTCATAATAAATGTTGTGGAATTGTTCCTGTAATTCAGCCCTTTGGTATTCTTGTTAGCATAGTTGTAAAAAGTAATAATTTTTAGTGTCATTTGAACTTGGTTATCCTTATAAATAATTATAATACATAACAAGTGGTGTGGTGATCTAGTTGTTAAAGCACTTGCCTTTCAACTAGTTATTCACATGTTCGAACCCTTCCGTATCAATTTTGGTTTGATCAGCCGAATGTCACACTGGCCTTCACACCAACAGTTTAAAGTATATAGGCAGGAAATTCGATTTTCTTTTCTTAACTAAATAATTGCATCCAAATGTTTTGAAAAGGCGTTAGGTATTATGTATTGCAAAAATACTATCGAATCTAAAGTAAATCCAGTAATCAAAAAGTGCTTCTTATCTCTAATCTGAATTACACAGATTTGTAGACTTAGAAAATAAAGTTTTACTACTTGTTAGTAGTCAAACTCTAAATATATAATTTGTTGAACGGAAGACTTCTAGTTACATTCGAAATCACCTTCAATAATTTTCATTGAGTTAGTTTCAAAATTAACGAGATCTTATTCACTCTTAGTACGATAAAATGGTTTTTTAGCCTTTTGTATACCATAAAGCAGTTCAGTCTTCGTTATTGGCGAAGTGCATTAATCTCCCTCATATATTAAATGAAATAGAAGCCGTCACCCGTGAAGTCAACGAAGTCGAGATTTAAATGGTAGCCTACCAATAACAGTAAATAAGAAGACGAAAAATTAACAGCTGAAAGTAATAATATTAACAGTAGTGGAGTGCAAAATATGGAAATAATTGTTCGACAGGACGAATAAAACTATCTAATGAAGTTTATGGAATAATATTAAGCTCCATATTTAGATGAAAATAAAAAAGATAATGCACATCCTTCAATGGGACTAATTTCAACCCATATCATCATCTTTATACTCAAAAGACATAGTGGTTACTTCTTCGACCTTAATCGGACGGCTTTCACCTCACGACATAGTTCACTTCTAGCTAAGTAGATAATTACTTCATAAAGTGTCACTGACTATCTTTTTCAAACTTTCTTAGTATGATAAAATATATAATTTACAAACGACGTAGGATATAATCACAAAAAGTGGAACATTCATTTTCAGGTCACTAAGTCAACTATAAAGAAGGGTTGTAATGTAGAGACATTCTAATAAATTTGAAAATATCATCAACTGAATATACAGACCAAATTGAACAGCGCTTATAAGACCAGGGACGAAAGTATATCAATTCATGTTACTATACCTCAAGTCAACACAGTGAAAGAGAATACTATCATATAAATTAGAGATAAATAATATCGACTGTAGTGGAAATTTATATATAAGAAATAATTATGAATAAAAAAATTAGATCGAACATTAGAAAAGACGAAAAAAATGATATGGTTTGTGGATCTGTTACGTTCACCTTGACCTTGTGAGTGTCTACATCAGCGCTTCAACTCATTAACTTGCTATCCAAATGCTGGGTAGGTAAGCAAAATTTCACTTCCTCAAAACTGTCAGAATACAAGAATGAAACAACCGATCTAATCCCGTTTATTTGACTCAAAAATCCATACGATTAAATGTATGAATAATAGGACCGCAATGCACCACAAATAAGACATTACAGTGTGTATCATGACATGAAATCAATACATGAAATTGAAATAATAGGCCTTATGATTACTTCGTAACAATTTTAGAATAGAAAAAATATGATAACAGTAAATGAGTTAGATAAAAACAAGCCATCTGGAAAATATAAAATCTACATGAGCTAAGGGTAAGTAATTACACATTTAGTAACGCGAGTATAGGCGTTTCAAACAATACTTTTCAAAGTTTATTATTCTCTCTTATTCGTCTAATCTCAACAGGAACTAAGCGTCACATTCAAATAAAGATAATTAATTCTACTGTATCAATATGATCGATTTTAAGCCATATCACCCGAACGCATCAATAATGTTTTACAATTAGTAAAATGACGTACGACAACAATGTTACTTAATTATTGTGACACAGAATTCATCTCTCTGTCTTATTGGCGTGTGGTAATTTGAACCGATGTACACATATGCCCGGTTCCGCGTTGCGTTTGACTGACTGACAGAATCGATAGTGAATAAGCATACAAACAAATTGTGCTGTAAAGAATATAAATTTTATTGAGAAAGGTTCTTAGTAGGCGTAACCATTGTTATCAGTGTTTGTTATATGGAAATAGTTAATACATTTTCAATTCAAGTAACTGTTTCATTCCAAACTGTACAAAAAAAGCTTCCACAGATTTAACGAGAAAATATGTTGATGTTTCATAATGTAGATATGAAGTTTCAGTTGCCTACTAATAACAAGTTTTCAAGTAGTTTTAATAATCATTAAGGTAAAATGTGTATTATATTACTAACTTATGTGTAATCAGTATTAGGTAAAAGTCATAAAATTAATTAAACTACATGAATTCAGTTCGCATTTATAAATAGTTCTTTAGTGGAAATAATTATCTCTTTCTTTTAGTAATGTTGTTACATTCAAAGTAAACCGCTATAAGGTTGATTTAATTATAACTTGTTATTTGCTTGGTAAGCGATATCACAATATTATCTCAGTGATCCAAAAAAATCGAAAGTAGATGTTTCTACTCATGATTATTAATTAATAATCTATGAAGTTAATTTACAAGAAAACTATAATATTATTAACAATCATTTCTACTTATTTTCTAATACATAATACCACTTATAAGTGATAGTAATAATAATAATAATTATTATTATTACATTAAATATGTATAGGATGTCATGCAAATATGTGCACATGTGCGCTGTGTTCGATATTCATATTTACTTAACCATTTGTGTGTGTGTGTGTGTGTGTGTGTAATATCGATTAATAATTTAGGGTGAATAAATAATGCTGAGAGATAACAATTATTACATAGAAGATACTTGAAAATATCAATATGTTTAGAAGTAAATAGTATTGGAGAATGTTGCCGAGAACAGAGTATGAGTGAGTGAGTGAGTGAGTGAGTAGAAAGTAAACTCAAAGAAATGAGTTGGTTATTAGGTTGAACTAGTTAAAATTAAAATATCATCCTTTTCACCTTTGTTGTTCTTTTTTTTTGTAGCCTAAATGATTTAAATACAAAATTAGAATCAGCTGAATTGGATATGAAACGATTTCATGAATATTTTCATCATGAAATAAAACAAATACGAACAAATATTCCATTGAATGTACGTATAGATGATTTAGATTCACGTCATTTAGAAAATCCACATATTTTATTATTAGGTCCATTATGTAAATCAAATCGGCAAAATGAGTCATTACTAGACTGTGATTTGGATGAGACTACAAATCGTCTATTACCAGATCCCATACAACCGACTCCATATGTTGCTGTTGATCATTGTAAAAAAAGTGTATAAATCCATATACATCTATTTACTTATTTATAAGTTTTTTTTTAAAAAATAATATTAACTTTTAATTTTCATTGAATTTTAATTTAAAAAGAACGTTTATATTTATTTCGAAAGGTTTTTATGGATGTATAGTGTAAACAATCAATAAATTAATGTATATTAAACTACTATTATTTTTATCCATCGTTTTCGATCTCATACTTATTTCAGAGAGTAATAAACAAAGATTCTAAGCTATCTATTGATAGTCTTCAATGAGGCTATAAAAAATCTTTTCAGTTTATTAAGAAACTGTTATCAGATAGGTGAGTATAAAATAGTTAAATCATTTAAAATTTAAACAGCATGCAATCCACATGCTAAAACACTTCAATAACGCTCATCCTAACATACAATTTACTATGGAACACGAACAGAATGACATGTTCCACTTTCTTGATGTTGCTATAAAACGTAGGAGAGACGGGACAGTCCAACGTTCGATTTATCGAAAAAGTACTTGGAATGGCATTTACCTGAATTTCAATAGCTTTTGTCCACTCAGTTACAAGAAGGCATTAGTTAAAACACTATTTTATAGGGCAGAAAAGATATGTACCACTGACAAACTCGAAGAAGAATTGATGAAAGTAGAAAAATGCCTGCGAGACAACTTTTACCCACAAAAGTTTATTGACAAGTATAAGAAGCGTAAAGAAAACAATACTGAAGTAATTACTGTCAATAAAAAACCAATAACTATAAGTCTTAACTTCAAAGGTGATGAGGTTGCAAACACAATCAACAGGAGACTGAATACTGCGCTAGCCAGAACTTATCCGGCGGCCAAACTTCAAATTCTGTATAAAACAACATGCTCAATAACTCAATCAAAAGTTGATAAGCATCCTTTTCATGTTACCGCCAATTGTATTTATAAATTTACGTGTACCTGCCAAAGCAGCTACATTGGCCGAACAGAAAGGAGGGCATATCTCAGATTTTTTGAACATGTCCCAAAAAGCCTCAGAACAAGAGAAAGAAAGACTCTAAATAGTGCAATCACCAAACATCTTCTTGATACAGGACATCAGGTCGATACCCTACAATCATTCAAGGTGATTAGTAAGCAGCCAAACTCCAGTCTTCTGAAGTTTGCTGAAGCAGTTGCTATCAGGCGCCTAAAGCCTGATTTATGTGTTCAAAAGGAGATGGTTATTAATCTTTCCTTGCCTTGGTGATTAATATTCCCTCGTTATATCTTATTAATTTTTTTTTTCTTTTTTTTTCCCTTAAACTCTTTATTGCATTTATTACACCATTGAGTTTTATTCCAACTATCTTATTTTATTTTATCAACTGAACTCTACTCATTTTATTCCTATCAAGTTTTATTTGTTTCTAACCGTTTGAACTGTTGTCACAATGTTCTTTCATCACATAAGGTATATATTTACAATATTCAGTCTATTAAACTTATTTACACCCTTGCTATACTATATGAATATGTCTTTAATATAACTTCCAATCAAACTCTTTTATGTAAGTAATTTTAACCCATTAATTATGATTTTAAATATCACAGGTTGTAAGCAGCTGACGAGAACCAACGAAATAAAAATGAATTCATGCTATTCTGCTAGAATGTTTGTTCTTGCTCTTTTCAAAATGATAAAGGGAACTATGTGTATAAAATTTAACTGTTAGGTATCAAATGATGACTCCGTTGTCAACTCAATTCTGCTTATAAGCAGTGTCACTAGACTGATTGAAACCCAAGTACATGAGTACTAAATAGCATTGAATTGAAGAAAGAATTTTTTTATTTCAAGTTGCGTTAATATGAATGTGATGTTTCCGTTGCCATTACTATCGTTCTAATATGCAAAACTTCAGAATAACACCTTTAAAACCTCATAAAATATTCAGAATTATATCTAAATAAAGAATACCGATTTCTTGAAAATTATCAGACGACATTGTGATATGTTTATTCTATTCATGAATATTTGTGCAATTCGTGAACAACATAACAGAAAACGCTTAGATCTACTATAATAATTAATTATTTTAAATATAAATTCGTTCGATCATTCTGTAAGATCTAAACAAATTCGGTACATACTCATTTCTTAAATATAAGTTATTATATTCTCGACAGATTTCAAGTGGAAAAATGGACTTTCTCGTGACTATTCTCCTGCAAACTATTTAGATTCGTTACTGACCAATTATTCATTATGCAGCTGTTACACGTGAAACTCATTGATTTGCCTAAAGCTGATGCGTAAATAATTTTAAGTAACAACGAATCCCACCTATTCGATAATCTTTTATACAGGTTTTGTACTTTTATTTCTCTAAAAAATTCAGGGATGAAAAACATACTCAAGAGATTTTGTTTCGCTATCAATTTGCGTAGCGTAAACAATTGGATTCCAGTTCAGTGATATAAATGAATTGTGCTCCTTAAGAGGATTAAAGACCCCGATTCCGCTTTCCTGTGGGGTCATGAATGAATATCTCTGAGGAGTATACAATAAGTGCCTGATGATCTCTAGTTGATATCAGTTTCTGACAAAAATCATATTCAAGTTACAGAAAATGTTTTGATGAAACATTTCAGTAAATGGCAGTTTTCTTGTCAAACGATTAACGAGAATCCAAGGCGGGAAGATTGTCTCTGAATTGATACAATGTTGAATGTAAGAAACATGGTGACCCGTTGAACATCTGAGCTACCTGTACCTACCATCTTGATACTTTAACAAGTTATCTGATCTTGTCTGTTTTAATACATCATTATGGCTATTAATCACATAGCCTACTCAGATGCGTTTCTGAAAAGTGTACAAGTTACAAAAGGCCTAATCAGAGACACTGTGGTTTCTAGCAATATGCAGCGCAAAGAATATGCATTATTTAGATGTCGATTTACTGGACTTCTAACTGGTGAACACTCAATATTTATCGTCAGGATCGACTAGGAAGCAAGAGACGGAAACTTGTTGAAATACTCTGTGTTGAGAATTCTACATTGTACCAAAAATATAATACTGAATAACCTACTTACTTACTTACGCCTGTTACTCCCAATGGAGCATAGGGTGCCGACCAGCATTCTCCAGCCCACTCTGTCCTAGGCCTTCTTTTCTAGTTCCATCCAATTCTTGTTCATTTTTCTCATGTCTGTCTCCATTTCCCGGCGTAATGTGTTCTTTGGTCTTCCTCTTTTCCTTTGGCCTTGAGGATTCCATGTGAGGGCTTGTCTTGTGACGCAGTTGGGGGCTTTCCTCAATGTGTGTCCTATCCACTTCCAGTGCTTCTTCCTGATTTCTTCCTCCGCTGGGATCTGGTTTGTTCTCTCCCACAGTACGTTGTTGCTGATAGTGTCCGGCCAACGGATTTGAAGTATTTTGCGTAGACAACTGTTAATAAACACTTGTTTCTTCTGGATGATGGCTTTCGTAGTTCTCCAGCTTTCTGCCCCATACAGTAGAACTGTCTTGATATTTGTATTGAAAATCCTGACCTTGGTGTTGGTTGACAGTTGCTTTGAGTTACAGATGTTCCTCAGTTGTAAATATGCTGCTCTTGCTTTGCCGATCCGCGCCTTCACATCTGCATCAGATCCACCCTGTTCATCAATGATGCTGCCCAAATATGTAAGGGTTTTTACATCTTCCAAATCTTCTCCGTCAATTGTGATTGGATTGGTGCATTCTGTGTTGTATCGGAGAATCCTGCTTTTCCCTTTGTGTATATTGAGACCTACTGCTGCCACACTGTTTATCTTCTCCTGCATTTGTTGTTGCGTTTGGGATAGAAGGGCCAGATCATCTGCGAAGTCCAGATCGTCCAACTGCATCCTAGATGTCCATTGTATCCCGTGCTTCCCTTCAGATGTTGACGTCTTCATGATCCAGTCGATCACCAGGAGAAAGAGAAAGGGTGAGAGTAAGCAACGTTGCCTAACACCGGTCTTCACTTCGAACGACTTTGTCAACTGTCCTCCATGCACGATTTTGCAGTGTAATCCATCATAGGAATTCCGTATGATATTGACTATCTTCTGAGGCACGCCGTAGTGTCGAAGAAGTTTCCATAGTGTTGTTCTGTCCACGCTATCAAATACTGAATAAAGCTAATAATAAATAAAATAAAAATTCTCTACTGGATTTCATCTTGAATATTTTCATATAAATTTGAATTACTAATATCCTACAGAGTAGTACTCTTTTTCAAAATCATAAAATTCACCTTCAAGTGTTTACATATTTCTCATCAAACAAAATATGTTGTGAGCCAGATCTCAGCACACTGTACAAAGAAGAAATCTCCTCTGATAAGGTATATTCGATAACTTTAGCTTTCTTGGCTGGATTAGATTTGCTTTCATTAATATAAAACAAACAATTTACTACACTAGTGAACTTCATTTTGACAAATTTCGATAAGTCTGATAATAAATATTCTTACAAAGAATATATAAGCCAGAATAATTAGAGAGAAAAAAACAACACGCAAGCAAAACTTGTATCACATTATTTATGATACATAAAAAATTAAGATAACTTGACAAATAGGAAGTAAACGATTTTAAAAATAAAACTTCTATGTACATAGTTGTTTAATTGAATCTTTATAACAAATAATCAAAAGCTTTTTGTAAGAGTAATAATTATCATTAGTAAGGAGGTGACACGTATAGATTCGAATTGTAGTATTTACGAGAAATAAATGCACAATGAGGATAATTATTTCAGTCGTACAGTAGTGATACACATACGTGAGCACGAAACAGTGCATAGTGATCAAAGGTTAGAGTCAGAGTAGGTTGATTAAATTCGAAAACAAAACAAGAAAGAGAGAAATTAAGATACGTAAAAGCCGAAAGGGTGAAGCTATATGTATATATTCATAAAAAAGCTTCCATCTCATGTGTCTAGATAGATATTACTCTCGACCCTGCACCCTGATGCATAAGTCTGAGAGAGTGGTAATTTAACGTCCGTAGAAAAACAATAACTATGTGTAAAGTAAATAGGTAGTTCGGATAAAAGGAAAAAGAACAACAACAACAATATGCACAAAAGACATTTTAAATGAAAAATGATGTGGTAAATACAAGGGAGGAGTCTATCCATTTATTGAGAAAAAAGCCATTTCACTTGTGATATGATTAAGTGTTTACCATGAAGTAGGGGATTTCATCCAGTGAAAGCAGTTTGGGCTGAGTAAATACAGTACATTGCACCAGAAAGTGTATGAAAGTCGTAATGATTATTTATTCTTAACAAAGAAAGGAAAATTGTTAACATATTCTTTGTTTGTAGAAGAATAAATGAAGAGTAATTCAGTGTTCGAAGAGGAAAGAAATATATATATATATATATATATATATATATATATATATATATATATATAGGGAAGCATAGCATAGATAGAATATATATATATATCATTTTATGGCGTTGATTACTTCATTTGTACCATGCTGACTTAATCTGAGTAAACGTGTAAATGATCAACTGTTCTTTTAGTTATTTTTTCATTTAATGTAATGAACAATTATTTGAATCAATTGATGAACTTAAGTGCCTAAGATTGTTTCTGATGATTAGCTGCCCATTTTTGAGATTGTCGAACAATTTGTTGACTTAATTCCTTCGTAGTTATAGGGACTCGAACAACCTTTACAAAAAAAGAAAGATTTTAATTAGAGGAGTAGAGCCAACTGGAAAATTGAATTCTGAGAAAAAAGAATTAAGTTGAACTATTCCAACAACTACAGATAGTTGTTGAAAAAAAATTAAGCCTATGTTTACTGATGACTCGAAATGTTCAAATTAAATGCCTATCTATACATTTTATAATCATAAATGGTTGTACATTGTAAAATGTAACTCCACTGAAACTACCTAAAACAGTGAACTAAATGACAAAAGAAAATTGAAATGTAACAATATCTGAAGACAAAAGATGATCAAGCGTTTGTCAATATCGTTTACCAGTTCTAGTATTGAATACTAACAAAATATTTTAAGAATAGAAGGATCATTTACTTTTTGTGAGCGAAAAACAAATCAGATAAAATATATTTTCTCATTTAATTACAATACATCCTCGTTGGGGGACTTGAAAGTCTTCAGTTTGATCTCGTCTGTAGTCATGAGTTCACAACTGATATGACGGGAAGAAAAGTCAAAATTCGATTGATTTACTCATTATGAGTTTTGTTCAACATTATTTCCGTTTCGATTCAATGTGATGATCATTCAGTGTAGTGTTTGTTTTCTTTTATCGTATGATATTCTGTATAATATACCATATTCTTGTATTCTATTGACATGAACTATGTTCAGTATATGATTGGTTATAACTCTAAGTATTTTTTATATATGTGATTTTATCCTAATTATTAATCAAAGTGTATTTTCGACCAAGGTTGTCTTCGTCGTGTTTTGAGGGTCAATAAATCTTCACTTATACCAGTGTTTTTACCTTCGCGTCGTGGAGATTGCAGAGGTTCCTCGTTTTGAGTATAAGTGATAAGTTTCTGACATAACAGTCAGCGGCGATCAGATATAAAACGTAGCATTGAAAGAGCCAAGACATTCAGCATTCAAGTGACAAGTTATAACAACAACACTACAGAAAAGTTACAAAATCCATCATCTTTCTAATGGTTCTTCAGCTAACTAATATTAATTTGTGACCAAACTTATCCTCAAATATCCAAAAAACTATTCTAATTTCCGTTAAAATAGAAATTCTACAAATAGATAATCCCATTTACTTCCAATTCATTTTAAGATCTAAACAATCTTAGGTTTAGTAGCCGCCATATTCGTAGCATCAACATATGTATTTTGATAGTTTACACCACGGACTGATTTCAGTTACATAAAAATTGACAATCAGAAGGCACTGAGAAGCCTTTTCATCTTAGTGTGGGGCTCTTCAGCAGTGCGTATACACGATGCAGCCCAGGATTAAAGTCAGGGCCTTCAGGTTTCATGGCTGGTCGGTACCAATGGTACACATCACTAACATCAATCAGCTCGAGACATTATGCGACTATTTTCCATTCCCTGTGGCGCCTTTACACCTGCATCACATCCTCATCGTTTATCGGTGATGTTGTCCAGGTATGTGAAATTTTTCACCTTTTCCAGAGCTTCTTCATCAAATGTGATTAGGGTTGGTGTTCCCCGTGCTTTCTCCCTTGTGTATGTTGAAGCCTACTGATGCAAAAGCTGCTGCTGTTACATTGGTTGTCTTCACCTGCATTTGTTGCTACGTATGATATAGAAGAGCTAAGTCACCAGCCAAGTCCAAGTCGTCTAGTTTCCTCAAAGCTGTCCTTTATATGCCATGCTTCCCCCTGAGATTTGAAGGTCTTCATAATCCAGTCGACCACCAGAAGAAAGAAGAAGGAAGAGAGTAAACAACCTTATTTGACTCTGACTCTTGCTTGGAATGCGTCTGTCAGCTGTCCTCCATGCACCACTTTGCACTGTAGTACGTCGTATGAATTCCGGATGATCTTGACGACCTTCTCAGCTACTCACTCCATAGTGTCAAAAAAGGTTCCGTAGGATATTCCTATCCACACTGTCAAACGTCTTCCCATAATCAAGGGAGTTGATGCGTAGTGACGAGTCCCATTGAACTAATCACTCAACAATGATACGTAGCACTGCGATTTGGTTTGTGCACGAACGATCCTTATGGAATTCAGCCTGTTGATCTAGAAGTTAAGCGTCTACTAAATACTTCATTCGGCTCAGCAACACTCTATTGAAAACCTTTCCTGGTACCGATAGTAGTGTGATGCATCTGTAGTTCTCGCACTTATCCGGAGGATTCAATGGAGCTAGCCTATTCAAGAATTCCTCAGAGCGATCTACCTGCCAGTTTCTCTGTTCTGGAATCTCAGTGGTTGGATTGTCTTCTTTATCCTTGACCAGTCTCTCTAGTTTACTGTATTTCCTAGCCAATTTCTTCGTTGTATCATATTTCTTTCTCTTGCAGCTTTTTCAGCTGTTGCTGCTAGCTCTCCCACGTATTTCTCCTTGTCGGCTCTAATGCTTTTCTTCACTCTCTTGTTTGCTTCTGAGTATTCAGCTTGTACCTTGACTTCCTCTGTTATTATTTGACTGATATTAATTACTGTCTTCTTGTTCTTTCTTTCTTAAATCTTGTCCAGGGTTTCCATAGAAATCTATTCCTTATGATGATGCTTCTTGAGACCCAGAACCTACTGACACGTTGAAATTAGTGCATCTTTGATCCCTTTCCAGTTGTCCTCTGTCGTAGTTTCTTTCAGTAGATCCTGTTGTTGAGAATTATCTTGAATTCCCTGAGTTTGTTAGTATCTTGTAGGAAGGCTGTATTGGAACTTTGTAATCCTGTTCCTCTAGTTGTCCACTGTTTTTTTAGTTTTAGTTTCATCTTGACAACTATCAAGTGGTGGTGATCTGAAGCTATGTCAGCTCATCTCCTGGTTCTCACGTCTTCCATTGACCTTCTGAATTTTTTAGTGGTGCAAATATGATTGATCTGTTCCTCTGTAGTGTGATTCAGTGACACCCATGTAACATTGTGTGTGCGTTTGTGGGGGAATATTGTACTGCCTATAACCATTTTTCGGAAGGCACATAAATTTGCAATTCTGTCACTATTCACGTTTCTTTTTCCCAGTCCATGTCGTCTCATGATATCTTCATATTCGGTGTTGTCCATTCCGACTTTGCTTTTAAGTCTCCCATCTGGATCATCAAGTCCTTTCTTGAGCACTTCGCTATAATCGATTGTAGCCTCTAATTAAATTGGTCTTAATCGTATTCATTACTATAATTGGTGGGTGCACCAATTGGTGCACAACATTCGTTGTGATTTCCTCCTTCTTTGTTTTGAAGAATGCTTTGATGATCTTGGGTGTATGGTATGAGATTCCCATCCTACAAGTACTTTAAGTGCTTCTTTGGACAGCATCAGAGCAACTCCTTGAGTGTGCGGGGCATTTTCCGTATATTTTAGGCTAGACAATAATTTATTTAACACAAATACTAGAAATCTACAAACAGGATAGAGACCATAGTGAAATCAATGATAAAAAGGAATTCACACCATTAGTGTCACAAAGTCTAACAAGCTGTGTTTGTTTATTTTTGTCCACTGGCCAATTACATCTCACCTCCACTGGTCATACATAAAAAAGTACTGAACCACATAATGATAATGCAACAAGCTAACAGTTCTATCGGTTTCTTTTCTTTTTCAGCACAAAGAAATGTTGATATACATTATAGAACTCTATGTGCAAAAACATTGAATGGTTTATTTGCAATCTTAGCGAAAGATAATTCATACTTTCAAGAAACAGTCAGTCGCTCAATGTTCTGTAGTTCTATCATTCTCAGATATTCCAAGTTTATTTAAGAAATATACAGTATTGAAGATGACTATGAGATAAGGACTTTCGAGGTTACTTTTCTACGATTATATATATCGCATATATTTGTTAAGTATTTTGGTTTTATTATTTTCGTATTACTCTTGTTCCAAGCTTTTATTTGAACCGTAAATTATTGCTATGGCATTTTACATTTATAAACCAGAACCGATTAATTGTGTACCCAGTACTCCGTTTTTCTCATCAATTATGTGGTTGTTCTGTCTTAATACTGTTACTCAATTGGTCTGCTTTGTGGTCTAGTCTTGCATTTATATAAATGAGTATCTAAAATATGAAGACGATTTTTAACTAGTGATCATTGGTCTTGTATCATTCCTCTTCGTTCGAGGCTAGTTAGCCTTAGGCCGACCGTCAGATATAGAGTATCGGTCTCCCTCTCATTTGCTGTGTATTGGTTACTTAAGGTCGTCGATGCGTATCGGTAGGTTGTAAGCCATAAAGTACAATTATAATCAATGTGATACCTAGCAATGATTGAACTTAATTGTTTTGAAAAATATAAGTGGAAATAAGAGAATTTCAACTTGTCTTTAGAACATATATCATGATCGGCGTACATACAATGAAACTAACGAACCAGCAAAACTGAAGTCAGGTGTAACGTTTCAAAATAAGATAAATAAGCTAGCTGATATAACACTGAGAATCTGGACTAAATGAGAATGATGTAGTATTTATCTAACAAATCGAGTATTTTGAATTATGGCGTCGATAACGAAAGTAGACTGGTTCATTCTAAACAGCGATACAACATATCAATAATATGCATTTATTTTATTGATAGTTATATTTCATGTTTTGTTTAGCTGAATAATGAAACAAAAGCTCGGTGTACAATCATTAGTTAATTCACTAGAATGCAATATTTAATATTAATAAGTCGATCAGTTCGACTGCTATATGAAAAGTGAACGCAAACAGTAGTATGAATTTTTACACAACATTAAGAATAACAATATTTATTTATCCTTGCAACGACAGAATGTGCTTTAGAATATGATGTGGGATAAAGAGAGAGAGAGAGAGAGACAGAGAAAGGAAGAGTGGTATCCGGAAGCTTACAAAGTTACACGTATTCACTGCTCTACAAAATGGACAACTAACTAATCAATAAGACATTCATTTCACTTCCATTGCCAAGTAAAATGAAAGCCTGCTATACAAATATTATTTATGTTTAACTTACTTCACGGATAAAATTATCCAATTTGCCAACAACAGATGATACTTCACGTAATCTCATAAGAATATCGTCAAGTCCTTGACATGATTTACGGTGAGAAGGATGTCCAAATAAACGATTCAATAAAACAATAGCCACTTTAAATAATATGATTTTACCTAATAAGATGATTTTTTGAAATAGAAAACAATAATAATTAATCAGTAAGTTTTAGAAAGCGTCTTAACAACTTATTTTAAGCTTACAAAAGAAAGGATTAGATGTACTGAAAAAGTGGATAGTAAGAATTCATCAGTGCATCGTCATCCTTCGTCTTCAGAGTTGTTTACCAATTTATTTATAAATCATTTCGGTTCACGTTGTTGAATGGCAATCAGTACACACACACAGCAACAACAATGATATTACAAAAAATGTGAAAATATAACTAGTTAGGCATGTATATGGAGCTCATGGATCGTAAGACTATAATTATTTTGAAAGTCTTTCATATATTTTTGTAAAATAAAGAGTATTTGAGTGAACAATTGTTTTCAATAACTTCTTTAAGCTCTATACAGTTAGAAATATCTAAATATTGGGACGGCGGTTCAACGAGTTAGAGAATCCAGCATTTAACCACTAAACCTCAGACATCAAAGAGGAAGAATATATTTGTAAAATCGAATGTAAATTTATATTCGATAATTTTGATGTTTGATTAAATTTCCCTGAAAAAGCTTGGACCGAATTGCCAGGTGAAATGTTGGATTTACTTCAAATTCATTCGCTAAGATTTTACAAATACATTCTTCCTCTTTAATATCTCACATCAAATCAGTGCCCAAATACTGTGAAACTATTCGATCAAATTTAGACGAAAGTTCGCATATACTAAGCCACAGATCCGAACTCCCACTCCACCCTACTTCTGTTTGGGGTATCGGATAGTATCACTTAGCTATTGTGCTTGAGGTGTGGCTCAAAGCCAAATGCACAAATTTGTAGCTGGTAAAGGAGTTGAAAAAGAAAACAAAACGAAAATATTGCATCACAGCATACAGTTTAATTTGGGTATACATAACAAAGTTATCATTGAATTAGTTGGTGTTCTCAATTTAGAACATTGAATTAGAATGCCGAATATAGCTTAAACACCTTCAAACTGTGAAAGATGGTATTAAAAAAGAATAAGAAATAGATAATGCAATATTTAGATGAAGATTATCAATAAAATGACTACGTAAGAAAAGAATGAACACATCAAAACCCAAAAATCCTTTTAAGGCTAAAAGAAGGCGGGCGTTCTATTTCCGTACGCACGAATCTGTCTGGTGACTTCTGGATTCACAAATAGAAAAACTGGTAGAAGAATTTAATGGATTCATAAGTTATTTATGATTTGTTCACACTTTATAGTATTATATTTCTTCCCCATAATCTCTATTTACAATAGCTGTCTTTTGATTGGCTAACAACAACGGGCTAAAATTGGCTGCAACTGTTTTAAGCTCTCCCTATACTGTTTTCCAATAAAAATGGAACATTCAGTTTGTTCTTTTATTGTTTCTATGGTTTTTTTGCTGTTGATTTCATCTTCCGTTCTGTCAAACAATTTTATTTATCAGTTAATGACCATGTACCTAAATCTATTCGAATCAATAAGCAGATGTTTATAGGTATCAGTGCCAAGGTTGAACATGATAGTTTCACATAAATTAATAAGCAAATATGTTACTCCCATTAACGTTAGTGGCAAATGTTTCAGCAGTATGTCGGCGATTACTTCCAGTACACAATTTTGTATCTAAAACTAAAATTAATCTGCTAACCAATAGTATCAGAATGAACAAAACAATGTGACACTCTTGAAGAGGTGCATTAGAAAACATTTAATCCGGAATCTAGAAAGGTTTATCATTAACTATCTCAGTATGGAGGATATTTTCATCAGAACATTTGTGTTATAAGTTTCAAATAGTTAAACAATTTTTCCACAGTTGAAAAAATTATTTAACGTTTAAATTTTACACAAAAAATGTTGATTTACTCTACAAAATACAAATAACCATTTGTTAGTAACTTTTCAACATACACAATAGGACAAAGAGCATAATATTAACATCGACCAGAGTTTTAAGGATGAATCATCCACTTATGTAAAACACGAAAGAAATAATAAAAATTAGATGCGTTTTTTGCATGGGCGTGAATATACAATAGAATAATACTAATATATTTTTCTAGAAAAGATAGACATAGTGATAAGTTGAACGGAGTACCTTTGTACACATTAAATCTATCATTTTTTATTCACAAAGATGAATGAGGCTGTAATATTAGTATAGACAACTTGCACTATGATATATTAAGCAAGGTGACTCATTACTGAAAAACGACAGTCGATGACGAGACAGAGAAAGAAAACTCCCGAAAGACATGCGAATGAATTACAACACTTATGAATTATTGTTCATATTTTATACACTTCCATGTTTACCTAACGACAATATGATTTACGGCAAAATAACTCTTATACTGTTAGGTTTTAGTCAGACGATTACATCTGATAAAGGAAGATCACTAGAGAATTCTTCCATTGATACGTTTAAAAGAAAGTTGAAATATGTTAGTCCCAATTATTGGGCACAATTTCCTCCTAGTGTTTTGATAATGAGTCAGAATCTGTTAAGATATAGGTTAGATAAATATTCCAAGTTGTCTGGTCATAAGTGGCATACTACTACTACTACATCAGTTTCATAAAATGGGATAATTTACCACAGCACAACAATATTCACGTTGGATTATTAGCAAAAACTTAATGAAGCGACATTTTATCTTCCCCACAAAAATACTGATTGGGTTTCAGCAAGATGGTGAAACACTGAAGCACTGACTGTGCGATCTGAGATTGACATGTTTAATTTTAAGTTGTTTTCAGAGTGTACAGTTCTGAAAAAGTACAAAGTCAAGGAAAATCACCTATATGTTTTCTTTAAATGTAACATTAGTTTAAATCTATCATAGTGTATTTTAAATAATGCTGAATATGACTTATTTATTCTTTAAGAACTTATCAATAAAGAAAGTATCACCCGATTTTTTCGAGTGTATTAGTTGAAGAGTAGATAATATTTCGTTGACCTGTACACGTTCATTATGATTCTAATCTAAAAGCGCTGGAGACAAGGGTACACGCATTGTTAAATTAGTTTATAATGAAGCAATTAATGAACTGAAATTGTGTGGCGCATATATGTTTGGCGCACTCCTGTACCAATATATATGTGTTCAAATAAAATAAATTATAATGAAGCTGAATATGCGAGCTCAATCACATCTCTGAGCCTTTTCAGACATCTTGTTTAATCAAAATTCTATGGTAATAATTTAAATTACTGTGAGATATGAATATACACGATATTTAAACCTGGAAAATGTATACATTGAGAATAATTTTAGATATTGGAATACATTAAATCAGGACAACAAAAAAAAAACAATGAATATATTGCCGAATATATATTTTTTAAAAAACTCATCTGGGTTGAAAACTGTGGAAACGATACTTTTCAGTCTTGAGGCATATTTATTCTCACCAAAAAATGAGATAGTCCTATATGGATTTTTTTCTTTCTACTCTGACAGTGAATTTTGTCACAAAATGACAATTGCTAAAGAATTATGGAAAGTTAACAAGCATTAAACACTTGTTTCACTTGATATTTGAGGAGCCATTCCTTAATAGTGTGCATTCATGACATGTAAACGATAAAGGCTTGAACTGTTTCTATATGATGTTGAAGTGGTTACCAATAAAATAAAGCTAAAATTGAATATTCAGGTTACACAATAAATCAAGGACAAGTAATGGTTGTAGTAATAGTAGTAGTCGATAATTTTCTAATTTTATATTTATTGCAGTATACGCGTTGTACACATCTGAATAACAGAAATCACTATTGTCCCAAAACTGGGCAATTAAAAAACAGTATTTCTTAATCCTTTTTTTATTTACCACTAACATAACAACAAATAGATTACATAGACGAAATGATTTATAACCACAATATGTGATCAACTGTTACCGGAGAAAAATTCAAATTAGATGAAAAGGTATCATGAAGATAGAAAAGTAAATGACTAGATGCTCACCCAGTGATAAAAAGGTTAAGTGCTCGCCCCAAAACTCAAACGTTTTGAGTTCAGTCCCAGGTGGTCGGTCTGTAGATGGGTACTGTTGAACAGTGCCATATTTTATATAAATTTTGGTACAACAGACTACGCAGAAAATATTATGCGCCACATGAATAAAGAGATATTGTTGTAAAGAAGGGAATGAAAGTGGAATCAAAAATAGAACAGATGAAGAGGTCAGTCAGTCAGCTACAACGTAGGACCAGGCACATATATGCATCGGTCCAAGTTGCCACACCTCATTAGCACAAAAAGATGAACACCGAATTCATAAAAGTAGTTTATTCAGAGGTGGTAATATATAAAAGAAAGATTGCATACAAGGATATAGTACAGGGAGAAAGAATTAGTTCGTACAAAGAAAGATATGAAGCGATTTTATTCTCGTATTTTAAGGGAAGACAGAGAGTGTATACACCTACGCTATTGTGATCGATTCTGAGCCATGTCACCAAGAGTCTCCAACCATCGGTTAAAATAATCACGCGGACCCCCACCAAGTAGTCTGCATCTACCAACATGACTAAGACTAGAAGTTAGTGACTTCAATCACTGATGCCACGTTTTAGTTTGGCCTCCCCTAACTTTCTTCCAACCATCCCGAACACCGGTCAGCATTGCACGTCGTGGTAATCGGTGTTTGGGCATATGTAACACGTGGCCCAACCATCTCACTCGATGAAGATTCACAACCTCATCAACTGATTTACCATCATTGCTTAACACCCTGCGTCTAGCCTCACTATTACTTACCCGGTGATCCCAGCAGACGCCAGCAATATTTCTGAGACATCTGTGGTCGAATACTAGTAGCTTACGAGTGTCTTCTACTCTTAGTGGCCATGTTTCGCTGCCGTAAATTAAAACAGAACGGACTGCTGCGCACTATACTCGTCCTTTTATTGATAGACGGATATCTCGCCTTCGCCACAGGTGACGTAAGTTGGCAAAAGCCAAGCGAGCTTTTCGAATCCGTGCT